GCCGCTCGATGTCAGGCACCGGTTCAACGTGACTTCACTCTGTGCGGCGTCCGAAGACAGACAGCTTCACAAAAGTTCCCCAAAGTGTAACCGGCCCGGTTAAAATCAGTTTGTAGTCCAGTGGAAATCCGGAATGAAACTGCGAGCCGCCATCGCCGCTTTGCCGTCACTTCCGCGAGAGGGTTCGCGTGGTTGCGCGCAGCACGTCCACGTGGAAAGAAAATAAACAGACGTGGACGAGCAGCGGTGTGTCCAAATCAACCAGCTTTTATCATCGGGTTTTAGTTTGTTCAGCAGTCATTCAGACACTTTGTTTGCAGTGCGGTTGAACACGGACACTGTTTGTGTGTCATTTGTGTTTGTGCATAAAGTTTTATTCTCGTTTTGACTGCAGCTTGATGGACGTCGATAAACCTCATTGTGCTACTGTGATTCAAAGCTGTAAAATAATAAAATATGAAAATGTAACTGGGCGTGGGTGGATGTGTTTTTACTCAGACTGTAAATTATATTTGGCAGGGGCAGCTTTTACAGCTGAGAGAAAGATAATTACACTTAATTAATTACTTCAAACTCATAAAGTCTCCTCTGACACTGATGTGCAAATAGCTCATATTATTTAGAGATGTTATTTATAAATGGAAACACATTAAGAAATCCAGATTTGTCAAAATCACGTGCAAAACATTGTTATCATATAAATGTATGTCATGGTTATTTCCAGTCATGATGATTTTCTTTTATATCACTTTAATCAGTGTAAAGAGTCAGCTGGATGACTGATGAAAGCAACACTTCTATGCAATGGATTGTACAATGTTCATTTTTATGAAAAAGCAAAGTGTGACATAAACTTACAGTCAGATAAAAGCATATTTTTATTAAATAAATAAAAACAACATTAAAAAAACTGAATCATCAATTTAATAAACATAATACAGATTTTTTTTTGTTCATTATTTTATATCTTCAAATGAGACGGTGATAAAGCTTTGAATCTTCACTGCTGAAAACGACTCAGTGTCTTGAATGGCAAGGAAAACCGTGGCTCTTCGTTGCCCTAACCCTACACATCAAGATCGTCATCAGGGTCCTCCTGGTCGTAGTCGTCATTGGCATCAGGCTCATACAGAATTCGTCCTGAACCTGGACCTGAATGGAGCAGAGCAGTTTTCCTGTAAGAGGAAAAAGGGGACAGCAGTTAAGGTTGTTAAATAAAACACATGGAATGTATCCTGAGGAGAAAAATGGTTAAAAAACACGAGACTTGTGGGAAAGTTCCTCACTTCTCTTTGCTGAAGACAAAGGGAAGAGAAAGTTTCTCCTTGGCCTCGCGCTCTGTATCAGACAGTCGAAGGTTGAAGGTCAAGTTGGCTGTTGGGTCCGTCTATAGAAACACAAGAAGAACACTTTCAGTCTTGTTATATCTGAACCTGTATTCTATTGATGGTGTGAATGTATTAAGCTTGTGTTATATTCACCTCCTGTTCCTCGGGGTCAGTCTGTTTGGGTCCAAGATGGCTGGGCCTGCTCTGCACTGCGACTGTAAGATCCTCTTTGATGCTGAAAATCTCCTCCTAAGGACAAAAAAACCCCCCAAAAAACAAAGTTACCAATCATTTTTAACAGTGTAGTAACACAAAGTAGTTAACCAAATTTAACACTGCTTACATCTTGCATAACTTTCCCCGATTTTGAGCGCTTTGTTATCTTTGCCACTGCCTCGTCTCCCTTCATCCCAGGTGCTACAGTGACGACTGAAGTTGCCAATTGGCATACACTTCCCACAGTACCCCTCTGATGCATATCTGCATGGAGCAGAGCGATAATAGCTCTCACAGCTCCCCCTAATGAAAACACAGAAAAATACCTTTAAATACTGGAATTACTTAATAGTTTTTAAATTCCACATTACTATAAAATGTGTTTGTTTGACAATATGGTGGTGCAGCCTTTAATAAATATTTAATTTAATAAATATTCTCTTAATCATTAGAGATAGAGGCTTTACAATGACTCTTCCAGCCTGGATGTCATACCTTCCTTCATTCAACACCACTCGAAAAACTTGCGACATCATGCTGACACGCAGATATTAGAAATTTCATTTATCACCTTTTCTAAGTTGTTGAAGAGTCTTGCAGACAGCAGGAGGGCTGTGGTGTCTCAAGATCCACGAAAGGGAGTCGATCACTAACGTAGCTGGTTTGGGGTGTGATGTTTGCTTGACCAGACGTGTCAGTTCCTCCAAGCAGAACTGGTGAACTGTGAAAGTTGGGTTATCAGTCCAGCCAAGTGGGTCTGTATAAGCATTGTGAAAGTGTAGCCTGAAGGGACAAACACAAATTGTTAATGGTCGGTTTGATTATACGTAGATCAGCCGTAACATTATGACCACACAGGCACCCTGGTGGTCATAATGTTAAGCAGCCCCCATACACAACAAACTGTTCTGACACCTTTCTATCAGAAACAGCATTAACTTTTTTCAGCAGTTTGAGCTGCAGTAGCTCGTCTGTTGGATCGGACCACAAGTGCCAGCCTTTCACTCCCCATACGCATCAGTGAGCCTTGGCCACTAATGACACTGTTGCTGGTTTCTTGGAGCACTTTTGATAGCTACTGACCTCTGCAGACCGGGAACAACCCACAAGAACTGCAGGTTTGGAGATGCTCTGACCCAGTCGTCTAGCCATAACAATGTGGTCCTTGTCAAAGTCATTCAAATCCTCACGTTTCCCATTTTTCCTGCTTCTAAAACATCAACTTTGAGGAAAAAATGTTCACTTGCTGCCTGATATATCCCACCCACAGACAGGAGCCATGATAATCAGATAATCAGTGTTATTCACTTTACCTGTCAGTACTCACAATGTAATGGCTTTAATCATTTAAGTGCCTTGACGACATAAAGGCCTGGATGACTCGAACTTTTAAATTTCAATGATAAAAGACAGAAGTGATGGTTTTGGTGGCACCACAGGGATCCCCCGTAGATCTGGGTTCCTTGGCCCAGTATATTAAACCTAGCATCACAAACCTAGGGGTTAAGGTGGACCCTGAGCTTAAGTTTGACAGTCAGATCAAGGCTGTTGTCAAATCAAGCTTTTCCATTTGAGGCAGCTGGCCAAAATAAAGCCAATTCTATCAAGGCAGCACTTTGAGACGGTAATCCACGCCTTGTTACCGCCGGCTGGATTACTGTAATGCACTATATGGGGGGTTAGTGGGTCCTCCATCGCCCGTCTTCAGATGGTACAGAATGCTGCTGCACGTCTTTAACTGGCACATGTAAACATGAGCACATTTCCCCCATTTAGCCTCACTCCACTGGCTGCCAATTCAATTTAGGATCCATTTTAAAATTCTTTATTTGCTTTTAAATCCCTAAATGGTCTTGCCCCGCCCTACCTATCTGAGCTTCTACACCCCTATAACCCGTCCGCCCCCTCAGGTCAGATGATCAGCTGCTCCTGAGTGTGCCTAAAACTAAGCGGAAGCTCAGAGGGACCGTGCCTTGCTGTGTCTGCTCCTAAATTATGGAATGATCTGCCTCTGCACATTAAACAGGCCTCTTCTCTGTCTGTTTTTAAAACCGGTCTTAAAACCCATCTCTTCTCTGTGGCCTTGACACCTAGTAAGATGTCACTTTATTTACTTGATTTATTTTTGTATTTGTTATTTTTACTTTTTGATTGCTTGTTATTGCATGGTTATTATTTTTATTTATGTCTTTTCATTTTATTGTTGTATTATATGTTATTTTGCGCCTCATGTGAGCTGTTATGTCTTTTATTTATGATGTCTTATTTATTCTCCTGTACAGCACTTTGGTCAACTTTGGTTGTTTTAAAGTGCTTAACAAATAAAGTTGGATTGGATTGGATTTAGTCTATAAAAATGTAAGACAATTGTGAAAAAAATGCAATGTCAGTTTATTCAGTTCACGGTGATTTATTCAAAAGTCTACTATTGTTTGATCAAAAGTAATTAGAAATTCAATTTACAAAGAACAACAACACTAGAAACGTTGGACCCAGTAAACCTCACATTTAGCTTGATACATAACTTACACTATTAACCAATAACAGATCAGGTGGCTGTTAACTTTATTTTAATGCACTAATCACACTATTAAATTACCTCTGAATTGGTGATCCTTTCAATCCATCTTTCAGTTCTTCCTCACCGACCTCAAAGCCAAGGACATGGACAGCTTCCTCCCTACGTTTGTACCACAGGTAAAGACAGGTTTTTATTACGGTTTCTTCCTAATAAAAACAAAACTTGGACGACATTAATAAATGATAGCGTATAAATAACCAAACCACACCTGTTCAACGCAGCATTGATGAAGCTCCTCAGGAGGTGTCGACCAGAAAGACAAGCAGAATCTACCAATGCAAGTAGAAATTACATGACTTCACTGTAAGCTATTTATTTACATAACACTTCTGTTATTGTTCCCAATTTAAAGACTTAAATTCAACATGACATTTAAAGCAAATACCTTGTATTAAAAGAAATCCTCCAGCATCGGTGCCTTGCAATAATTCAGTTAACATTGTACAGTGTAAGTAAATCCTATTAGGGTCCAGGTGAGTTAGCTCCAGCTAGTTAGCATGCTTCTTGTTTACCACATAGTCAGACGTGAGGAGCACAATAAAACCTTGGAGATCTCGGTAGTTTAAAGCCAGCAGAGCGACATCTCTCACAGTTCAGATTATCGATCCACTAAAGTCACAGCAACTTATCTTTCACAGGAACAAATATGTTTTCCTCCAGCACGTATCGCTAGGTAGCATGTTCAGAGTGTACAGAGTCAAAAACACCACCTCCACAAGTCCCTCCCTGCCTCTAATATCGGACACATGTGGGAAATGTAGTTCCGGAACATGCACGACCCCCGCCCGGTGCCTCGCCGAACGCCTGCGCGATAAACTACCTCACCCAGCATGCACCGCGGGATACATTGCGCTGGCAGCCTGAAGAGGTTTCTGCCGCGCACGGAGAGCACCGTGCGGAATAAAGTCAAAACTCCGGTCGTTTTGTGTGCATACAGCGAAGAAACGAAAAAAAAGAGAGAGAGAGAGAGAGAGAAAGAGAGAAAACTTCCCAGCAGAAGTTGCCGTCATGGAGCCACATTCACTAACACTCGCGGTTAGCTGAGGAGGTTCTGTGCAGTTCTGCCACATTTCGGTACCGATGGTTATATAAATGCAGTGACGAAGAAAAGGAGCGAGAAGCGACCGAGGAATTAGTGTTTTTGTCGGGCTCATAACGTCAGTGTGGCGGTAGTTCAGAGGCGGTGTGCTGCTGCTGCTGCTACGGTCGCGTAGCTGCTGCGAGGGAGCATCACAACTTCGACCCACAGTGGAGTGGTTTTATTTTTTATTTTTTAAAGGAAGAGTCTCGTCGGTCTTCCGCGCCCCTTCGGCTTGTTGCTGCTAAAGTTGCCCGGCGGTAAGGTGCAGCCACGCCGGGGGAAGGCACAGCGCGACGGCCGCTACTCTCCGGCTAGCTCGCCTGCTGCTTGTTTCTTGGATCGAGGCCTTGTCGGTGAGGCGACAATGCTTGACATAATGTCCGAGCACCAAGGTACGTTGGACCGGAATCGGTGTTGAGCCATTAAACACACACACACACACACACACACACACTGTCTGCTCTGTTTCACGCACATTAAGATGGCTAACTGTAAACCAAACCTAAGTTGTGTGCAGCGCTTCGTTTGGTTGCGTATGCCGTGTTAATAACACCCCTCGCTGTTTACCGACGTGTCTCACGTCGTCAAAATGCCTCTAAAGTTGCGTTAAAGTAAATATAATCCGCGTTTCGCTGCGATTAAAGGAGCTAACTTTGGTGTTGAAGTTGAGTTAGCGTGCTAGTTTGTTAACGCGCCGACACATCTAGCTTAACGTTGTTGGCTAGCTAGCTGGATGCCCCCCCTTACCCCCTCACTAAAGACCCCCTCTAACCTGTCAGTCTGGAGTTAAATCCGCTCACTTGTCAGCCACGAAAACACAAATTTATCATGAAACGCAAACTTCAGCGCTGACAACACGGCCGATTGAACGCTACAGCTTGCTAGCGCCGAGCTAACGTGGCTAACGAGCCTCCCACTTCCATTTGAAGAAAGCTAGCGCGATCAGCTAGCCGACCCAGAGCCTGGTTGTTAGCTCGGCTCTTACAGGGACACGGTGGTAGTCGGTAGCAGTGTCGAGTTAAACGCAACTCGTTGAATATGAAGCAGATTAAAGGGACTTTTGTAACCGTGTTTTCTCTGTTATCGCTGCAGAGTTCATAACGTGTTGTGTTAGCGTCTCCTCTAAATGTCAGCTAACGTTAGCAGGTAGCGCCTCGACGATACTAAATCACAAGTTTAATGATTGGCAGCCATCAAACTGAGCTCCGTGAGCCTCGCGTTTACACAATCCGCTCTTCTTGTTCTCATTAAATGGATAAAGCGTTGTTTGTAGATGGTGTAGGGGGGTCCAGACTGTGTGTGGAGTTCAGATCGTGTTCAGGTGACACCGGTTGTTGGCAGTCAGCTCTTGTTATCATCCGATGAACCGATTTGCTTATTTTCCGCTTGAATCGGTTATCGGTGAGCTGTCGGTCAATCCGACGCACCGAAACAAACCCGGCTCTTAAAATAAACCCAGCGTGGTCGTCACTAATATCCCTGATTAAGTTATTGAGCCGTGTTAGCAAGCTAATGCTAGCGTTGGTCCACATGTGTCTCATCACACCCATTCAACCGTGTGCTTTGATAATTCTCTATATATCAGCTGTTTGGTGCAAATAAAGACTGGTTCATTTGTAACTTACAGAATTGTGTTTTTTGTTTTTTTTCCCCTTCCACCAGATTCACTGTTGACGTGCAAAACGGAATCTCTGGTGAGTACTTTGTGATGTTACTACAATCCTCTCCAGTGATTCATTCTGTAGCTTTGTGTTGTTTGAGCTTGTTTAGATTACTTTCAGTGACTTACGCAAATGTTTTGCTTCCTGTAGCCCCCAGAGAGAAAAAAGAGGACTGTAGAGGACTTCAACAAGTTCTGCAGCTTTGTCCTGGCGTATGCGGGCTACATCCCCAGTCCAAAAGAGGTCAGCTGCTATAAATGTCACTGTGGATATTAGAAATGACTGTTTGCTCAGGCCTGGCTTGCTCAAGTTGTGAAGAAACACCAATATTTTTTTTTTTTCTCCCCCCCTTGTTCTCTTGTAGGAAAGTTCATGGTCCCCAACATCCTCCAGCTCTGCACACAGTTCAGGGTTGTCAGCCGACGGAGGCGGCGGTGGCAGCAGCTCCACGGGCAACACTTGGCCAGACGGGAGCTCCGACATCCACACCATCCATACGTTTGTCCGCAAAGCTCGAGCCAATAAGGGCAAAGGTATTCGCCGCATGCACTCTGATAGCACTCTGCTGGACAAGATGCGCCTTAAAGACTCTTTGTATGAGAGCCAGGCCAGCACTAAGGCGGAGCGCAAGAAGGACAAAAAACTTAAAAAGTTGTCTCTGGGCTCGGCTATGACGGCGGCAGACAGTGGCAGCAGCGAAGGCGAGAAAAGAGCACGCATTAAACGCAGCAAAAACTCAAAACAGCCAAAACCCAAGAAGCTCAAAAGTTCCACGGCTCAAAGCGAGACAGACTCTGAGGCACGGCATACACATTCAGAGGTACGACCCATCAGAGAGGAGCTGACGGTGCACGGGGGCTCCACCCCGAGCATGCAGGGCCTGGCGAAGATGCAGGCAGACGAGTCCATGAGGGAAGCAGAGATGAGCTCCAGTGAGGGTGAGACCTGGATCGCCGATGAAGACATTATGGTGGAGTCAGGTATGATTTATAAGCTTGAATTTATTAAGATGATCATATCTGAGTCTAATTAACCAAACTGTCTCATTTATTTAACATGCACCGTTTGACGACTTTCTTATCAGCTATAATATCCTATAACTTTGTTCTCTTTCTGAACGCAGGCGACGACTCGTGGGACTTGATCACCTGTTACTGTGGGAAGCCATTCGCGGGGCGGCCGATGATCGAGTGCAACCAGTGCGGCATTTGGGTGCACTTGTCGTGTGCGAAGATCAAGAAATCCAACGTTCCCGACATCTTTTACTGCCACAAGTGCAGGGACGTGCGGCGGTCAGGACACAAAAAGGACCCCTAGAGATGAAGAGGACTGGAGGGACGCGGAGCACCCACCCTGTTTTTGCTGTCCTCTGACACTTGTTTTCTTTGATGCCTACAGCCAAAACAGCCTAAATTATCACCTGGATGGCAACTGTATTGTCACTTTGTAGGATTTCTTTTGACAATCACAACCATTCTTATTTATCCCTCACTTTTATTTTTTTCTTACTTTTTTTTTGGCTACTGTGAAGAACTGGACAGAAGGCGACAGTGACAGTGGAGAATCATTTATTTGTTACTAATTAATTCCTCTATTAATTGGCTTTATTGATTTATACTGTGCTGGTGATGTGGACATCGATTTTCACTCTTAGTCTCATATTCACTGACGGTGCATTTTGACTTTATTTCTTGAGGATGTCGACAACAAAAATCAGTGAAAATTTCCTTTAGCGTCTCAAGGAGTACCATTTTCAGTTTGATAGCCATTTCCTCTCAACTTTTAAATCAACGCAAGTTTTACACATTGGCAAACAATTTATAGCTTAAGAGATGGAAAATGTCACTCCTGTTTGTTTAGAAGTATGTGATAAAGGTGGGCAGCTCATTTTATTTTTGATCGTATTTTGGCGATTTTATTTTTGAGTTTGCGTTTTTGTTTCGGTCGTCAGTGATAATCACTGAACTTTAAAATGTAGAGATCTCACTCTTCTAGAATAAGTGATCTTTGAATTCATACAATCTGTTTAAAATTTACTATTTTGCATCTGAAATTGCATCTAAATTGCTACATTTCAAATTGCACACAGACAATTCTTTCGACAGTGCACTTTTTAAGAAAAAAATATGAACCCAAATACCGTTTCTACTGCATATATGTGTATTTGGAATATGATGAGCTACGGCTGATTTAAAAACTGTACTTAGCATGTAGCTGTGTACATTCACGATTGAGCGCTTAATGTTTCTCCCTGTCTGGCTTGTTAATCATTGATAGCCATTTACCATGAACAACATTTACATTGACAATTGTTCAATTTTGATGTTTTTGTTTCATGTGTGTTATTTTTTGTTTTTTTGTTTTTCATGTTAAAAACTCAAATGATATGAGGGGGTAATGTTGCTGTAAAACGAATGGTTTGGCAGTGCTTTACAATATCAAAGTGGCTCTGAGGCTTGTTTATGAATGGTTGTAAAATATTTGTTTTTCTGTTTCATGTGATTGTTTATTTCTTAGCTTTCTGAGAAGCGGGTTTAGAGGTGCGCCCGCATCAGAGAATGGACATAAGATTGTCTCACATCGAGAACAAAAGTTGTAGTGTACAGAAAATATGTTGATGCCGCTTAGGTTGTGGCATTTGTTTATGTTGTTTGGTTTTACCATGTGCATTTTCTTTTGTTGGTGGGAGTGTCTTGGTAAGTCTCCAGTAGCAGTTGCACTCTCTCTACAGCATCAATTCTGTGTACATATCCTGTTCTTTGACAACTGTACATATGTGAAAGTGAAGAGAGAAAATACCCAAGCAAAATCTATATTTTCTGCAGTCTGATATTGTTTTCTTTAATTGTAGCTTGAAAAATAAAAGTCTTTGGGAACATAAAGGTAAGGTGGTATATTTAATCATTTGTATTGCACATTAAAGAGAGACACTTACAACAAGTTACTTCATCACATTTAATTAGGTGTTTGCACACAGCTGTGTTTGTCTTGTTTCTGTCCTCCACCACTAGAGGGAGTGGGTCAACAGGCATCTCACTTGTTAGTATGGCAGTGAGTTAAATAATGAATAAATATGGAATATATCAGAAGGTCATGTATTGGATTGGCACTGAGCTCAATTGTTGTAGTTGCTGTTTATTCCCTGAATTCTTCCCAGTGGGTGTCAGGTTCGTCCTGTAACACAAACAACAAACATGCTACATTTTTCATCCCACAGAAGTCTTAAATACTTAAACCATTACACCAGACACCATTGTTATACTCTATCGGAGGCTACAAAGACGAACTAACGTCATGGACATTCAAGCCTGCTATTGAAATTGTAACATTTAAATAGTGACAGAGATTTATAGTGCTCATTAAAACTGCCATTTCTACTTCTGTGTGTGTGTGTGTGTGTGTGTGTGTGTGTGTAGAGCAGGTGGCATTTAAATGTCATTGTGATGAAGGCTGATTTGCTTTGGAAACAAGTGACATAAGAAATACTGACAACTTGTCCACTGTTTGTCTCTTTCTAGAAGTTTAATCGACAGTTTTTTCTCTTTTAACTCACCTTTCTGTTTCAGAAACTGGACATTTGAAATCCACCAATGGAGTCCAGAGGAGCAACCTTCCTCCTGTAGAGACAGCGATATGGGATAGACAAGCTCAGTCCAAAATACTTAATTTCTCTGATGTATGATGACTGAAAATATATAATTTATACTTTTCATTCACACTAAATATTCACTCGGTCCCACACATTCCAAAAAACAACTTCAAACTTTACTCTAAAATAACTAAAATACGCAAAAAGCAGCAACAACCAAAACATCCTCAAGTTAGAAATCCTATTTGTGTTCAACTGAATGAAGATTAAACTAAATTTATCACATTTATTTAGATGATACTTGACATAAAACATGTTAATTACCTACATTGTGATTTAATTACATTTCCAATTACCCTAACTTGTTCATTAGACACAGGCCACATTTTTAAAGCTTTATTTCCTGCATTTATTTCATTATGTGTGACTTAAAAAAAAAAACACCATTCAAACCGCATGATACAAGGTTTCCTTACCTCTTTTCATTGGCTTTACGCTGGTACTGATACTGGCTCTGGCGTTGGAAAGAAAGTTGCTCTGTTGGGGTGAGAAAGGTCTCTGAATGAGAGGGGCGACCGTCCCCATCCCTGCTCACCTCCTCGGCGTCCCCCACAGAGAGGTCAAGCAGTCGGGGGAAGAGCTCTTGGTCCAACCAGTTAACTTCCTGAGGATGATAATCAGATTATAGAAAGACTGCACAGGAATAAATGCCTGCAGGTGTTTGATTTGTCCTAAAGGGTGTGTGTATAAATCTTACCCTTTTGTTCCTGATGCTGGGCAATACAGCTGCAGATATCTCCTCCAGCAACATGTAAAGAGCCAGGAGAGGTAGCACACACCTGGAGCAAAGCATCTGACCAGAGTGAGACAACCAGAGTCAGTAACAGTCACACACTTAAGCAACTGAACTACAAAATAAACCAAACTAAACTCACCTTAAATCGTCTGTTTCCTCTGTGGAGTTCTGACCTCAAAGCTGATGATGGCTGCAACTCTTCTGAGCTGTTGACCACCGTGGAGGGTATTTGTAGACATGCATCTAGGGTGGGTTTATATTATGGGACTGGCATTGTAGGCTGTTTAGGCTAAGCAAATGTGTGTGTGTGTGTGTGTGTGTGTGTGTGTGTGTGTGTGTGTGTGTGTGTGTGTGTGTGTGTGTGTGTGTGTGTGTGTGTGTGTGGTGTGTGTGTGTGTGTGTGTCCTCAGACATGCCAATTACATCTGCCGCCTTGCCGCCTGGCATTGTCATCATTAGAGTCAACCCTCTACAGCCTCTCTGACGAGATTTTAAGTGCTGACAACATGCCTTGACACACGTACATACATGTACACGCAGTCCCACCCCCACACCCTCATCCATTTTCCCTGCAGCAGATCTGAGGGGAAGATGGGGAACGAGATAAGTCATTGTTGAGTAGCTCGCTGTTTACAGACTCGCTTTAGGGCGACGCATTTACCCTCAGGCTGGTTTGCGCTCATTCTGCATTTTTATATGAATTATAGAGGTTATTCTTCTGTTTCATAATATGGTAAATGTGCAATATTACATCTAAAATACTCAATTTATTTTACAACAATGAATAAATGTTATTCATTAAAGGTTTTCACACATGTAAAAGAAAAATCTAATGTCTAATATTTCTTGTTTGTAGTTTGAACTCATTGTTTTATTAATTGAATCATCAATTTGGACAATGATATTTTGTAAAACATTCACACATTGCTAAAATATCAGTGATATAGAGTAAATTCTTGTCTATTACTGAGTCAAGGAAGTCTTATTTTCAAAACACAAGGATTAATCTGCTTAAACATATCAAATTTGTTGAAATCAAGTGTCTTTTTTTTCGTTATTCTAGTGAAGGGCTTCTTTCAGGACACTGACTTCTACAAAATTCTTGAAATAAGTTTATTTTATTAGAAAGAGGTCAAAATAATGCTACTACATTGGCCCAATTTTTCAATTCTTTTAAGAAACTGAACTTTTATGGCTCAATAACAGAAATTGCTTGACAGATATTTTTTGCATTGTAACCTATGATCACTAATAAAACCACAAAATCATCATCAGATTTTTGTTCAAAGAAACAAACTTTGTTTCACAACATCAAACACATAAAACTAAAACTGTAATAACTCATTTTGCTCAGTTTTAATTAAAATTTGCAGCTGAAATTAGGAAAATGTGCGTACAGTTACAAAAGTCAAAGTCAAAACACTAAAATCAATCAATTAAAGACTAAATCAATAAATGCTGTGAGAAATTTATAAATGAAACACTTTTCATGACTAGTGCAGAGTTTCTTTATTCTGTTTCTGTCAATTTGTTCAAAAACAAATTTCTACTAAATGTAAGTTAATTTTTATTATTTATTATTAAAATATATATTGTTTTATATAGGATATACTACACCGGGTGATTGTTTACATTTGTTTGAAGAAAACAAGATGTTTTCTAAGTTGGGGCTCAATAGTAAAGAAAACTTACTAAGTCAATTAAAAATCTATATACAGTGATTAATTGTCTGACACTATCTGTCATTTGGATTTGACAAAAGGTTTGTTGTATTTTCTCTTTAAATGGTCGCTCTCACCCTGAAAAAAAATAAATGTACTCATCATTTGGACTAAATTATCAGTTCATTTATTAACAGTTACTCTGTAACCTTGAAGAAATGTTTTTTTGATGAACTAATTAGTCTATATGTCCAAAATGATCAATGCCATCTAAATGTATCAGAGCCAAAAAGTGACACATTTAAACTAATTAACAACAAACATAAAAAACACAAAACGGAGGAAAAATTATAAACTTATGATGAATAAATAATATAAATGATAAACAGTTTACTGACAGTCACAATTGAAGTCAATTAACTAATCAATGAATCCAATATCTGCACTAACACAGTGTGTTTAGGTTTGGAAGGCTCTATAAGAGAGAAGCAGAGATAGTATCTGGACCCCAGTGTGTGTGGTAATCTGGAAAATTTGATCACTCTGCTTCGCCCGACTTCACTGGCGGATGGCCACCCAATCCAGACCACACACAACACCCCTCCTCCTCCTCCTCCTCCTCCTCTTCCTCCTCCTTGTGCTTGCTGCCTCTGCCTACAGAAAACAAAACAGAGAGGAGACAGTGCAGCAGGGATGGATGGAGAGATTGGCAGAGGATGGGGCGGAGGAGGGAGGGGGTCCGCTCAGAGCGTATGCACATTCAGACACGTTTTCACTTTTCCTCTTTTCCCGCCCTGTCCTAATTATTTCTATTTGGGGACACTGAGACCCACCAAACATAGAGCTGGTGCTGATGGATCAGGCGTGTATAAATAAACCAAGGCAAGGCTGGCAGCATCTTAGCAGGGGCAGAGGCCAGATAGGCTGCACTGATTACCTCCATTATCAGGGACAGGCCTCATTAGTGGCCTCTGGCTGGGTGTGTGTCTGTGTGTGTCTCTTATTGCAATACAGGACCCAATGTATCCTCCCAAAGACGTAAACTCACAGAGAATCCTTCAAAAGGGAGACACTAATGTCTTGTTCAGGGCAGTGGTGGACAACCTTTTTGGTATGAAGTGCCATTTTTAAATGTTCTTGTTAATTAGTCTATCAACATTAAGATTAACATTAAGTCTAATTAGGAAATCACATAAAGAATTAAGCCTCCGAAGGATCTGTAATTTCGTTCCTTCCATACAGGCAATGTTGATTGATTGATTTTAGTTCCAAAGGATAAAATGTTAAAGCGATCTTCCCAGGATGTTAGAAGACAAAAGAAAACAAAAAGAAGCACAAGATATTCCACATAAAAAAACTAAACAACATAGTCCTGAAATCTAAAAGTACATATACAAGTTAAGAAGCCTAAAATAACTCCCGACTGACTGACAATCTCTAACAATCAGGACATTGTAATTATATATGACAGGGTGTTTAATTTCTCATCTATGTCTTGAAAATAAAAGTAATGTTAAACTATTCCTCTAACTGTACTTGACTAAATTTTTTTAAGGCACCATTAAGTTATAATTAATTGTATTAAAATAAAGTTTATACTTAACAAACACATAGTTGAAATATACTTAAACATATACACATTACTATATCTAGGCTATATAATATACTGGTATGTATGATACCTACAGGTTTAAGATATATAAATAGTATTTCTAATGTATTACATGTATATTAATACAGTTTAAGATAATTAAGTATACAAAAAGAACACAGTAGAAATACTACATAAAAATACTTAAATACAAGCTTAGCGTGTCTCACTTACTGTAAGAGCAGTCAAGTATGTTTTACATTGTACTCTTAATATATAGTTTATACATTAACTACAATATTTGTATGTTTAAAATAGGACACACATAAGGAGGCTATATTTGCTGTATGATAAAGGTGAAAGTTTATTAATTGTTTATAGTTTTAGTTATTGAAGGTCCTCAAAAGTATAGTAATATGAAAGTATGTGTCTGTGTGACAAAATCTGAGGAAATCAGCTTAATCCATCTATCTGTCTGTGTGCTTGATTCACCGATTCGTGGCTTAATATGTCCTGTGTGTGTGTGTGTGTGTGTGTGTGTGTGCTGAATGACTTCTCCCATACCCCGCCCCAGTCCAGTGCCCTATAAGTACCAGGCATTGCAGTAGGTGCCAAATATAGACTCGACAGAGACTGCTCCCTGCACAACTGAGAGCAACTTTAGAAACGATTAACATGGAAAAAATGAAAAAATGTAAAATGATAAATAAACAAAACATTAGACAGATTGAATTTGTCCAGAAATCTTGTGTCAAATAAGTTGTTTGTTTTCATGTTGTTCATGGAATTAGCCACAAATTTCTGAATATCTAAAAAATTAAAGTGTTTCCATCCATTACTGTTATGGGGAACGTTGGTTCATTGAAATAAGCAGTATGGTGCTAATGACAAATAATATAAATAAAAAATAAAATAAATATCAACCGCCACTGTGTGCGTTTTAGAAATCAATAATGTTCTCATACATTTTTTAATTACTACTTATATACTCATATATATATATATATATATATATATATATATATATTGCTCTTGGCAAGAAGAAAGCAATCGTTTGTTTTGTAACGTTACATCATCCATGGTTAACTAAAATCAATAACATTTAATACATAAGTTAGTGACATCAGTGGATCACTTTAGAAAGTGTTTTTACATGCTGTCAGATTTGCATAATGAATGAGAACCCGACCGATTTAGGGTTAGAGCCCCAGAAACCAAATGTGGCCAAAACAGATCATTAAATGATAGTACGTGTTAATTTAACACTTTCTTTTTATTTCGTTTTTTTATTTTATTTATAGCGCTCATTCTATCATCACACAACAATTAACACTTGACTTTACAATATAATCCCTAATTTTTCCTCTTCGATAACAGTCGGCGCTCTGTGAGCTGTTCGGTTACCTTGGCAACGGTCAACGCCAAAACATGCGCGTTATCGTGCGCATGCGCGGAGTTCTATGTGACGTTCGTGCTTTGATGCGTTCTATGTGACGTTCGTGCTTTGATGTTCAGAATGAAGTGTGTTCCTGGAGGTATATATCGAGGGCTGCTTTGTAAAATCTGCATTTCATTTTCGCCATTGACCAGTGAGTTCCAGACCACAGTCAGAAAACTGAGGATCCACACATTACTGAACACTTTACAGTAAATTAGTTGTGACAGAACAAGTGAATACCATGAACACATCTGAATCCACGATGGACAGCACTGTCTTCATCACCAAAGACACTCTTCTGCCCATTGTTAAGAAATATTTCGATGCAATCTCTGCAGCCCAGTGGGCACTGCTGGCTACAGGCCCTTTGGACACAGATACAATTTCCATTCTGGCAGACATGATCACGGAAGTGATTCAGACTGCCACCATGAAAACTGCCCAATTTATCGTTGAGGAGTGCGTGGCCAAGAGTGAATCTCTGGCTGATACAAGTGCACCTTTAGAGACTTTAAAAGCTCAACTAGGAGTCTCCCTCAATGGCAGTTTTGCTGACGCTCTGCGCATCCCACTGCAGATGTGTCAGTGTGCAGACACACTGACCGAAATGGTGGTGAAGGAGGTGTCACAGAAAGTCAATTCTGTTGTGCCGACTGCCATCAACTGCCCCAGCTGGCCGGAGAAGCCTGCGATTTTCAATCTGGGCAACATCTCAAACACAGTGTCTCTTCGGCGCATGGTGTTCCAAGTGTCCTCATGTCTGAAGGGATATTTAGCTAAAGTGGAATACCGGTGTCAGTGTTGGCGGCCAAAAAGCCCAAAAAGATCTGAATGTCCAGATGATATCCTGGAATCTGAAGAAGAAGAATCTACTGAGAGTATCAAGTCTGCAATCTCTGTCCACAGTGTGACCAAAGCTGTCACTAACATCCTTGTCAGCTGGTCCAGTGAGAACCCAGAGATTGCTCACACTCCTTCATTTCTCACCATCCTGGATGCGGAGGCTGCAGCACCAGAAATAGTCAGGAATGCACTTGAGACCCTGCATTATCCTGACATTGAAGATTGTGCTAGGAACAGTGAGGAAAGCCTTGTTCCAATACCTCATTTTAACATGAGGTCAATAGTTGGTAAGGTCCGAGACTTTTATACCTCACAAGCCTCAATTAACAAAGACACCACAGACAACAGCCAGACTGCTCGCAGACTCAGCTTTCTAAAGTTTGCCAAGAATCAGTACAAAAAGATGATGGCACAGCTGATGAAGGCAAGTGACAAAGAACATCCAGACTTTCTTGTGAGTCTCAGACAGGATTCAGGATCCTCTCAGCAGAGACTGACGGAAGAGGATGATGCCAGTGAAGACTTTTTAGAACAAACTGTTCCAGAGTCTCCAACGCCAGAATCTGAGGCTGGCAGTCAAAGCAACATGGGATCAACAGCAGAGATCAAGAAGCTGTCTTCAGTAGATTTTGAGACAATCAAAATCGATCTTGACAGCTTGTTTCAGCAGTTAATCTCCCCAGATAAACCTGCAGTACTTGGGACCAAAACACTGGAAAACACCATGTCCAGTGAGCACATCAGAAAGTTTGCTAAGGAACTGACTGATAAATTGTGTGATCACCTGATGAGCATTCAGACATTTCAACGTTCTGCTGCTCCGATGACAAGAAGTCTGTCCTACTCTGACATCTCAGAGCTCAGGAGGGAGGTGGACGCCACCACTCAGTTCCCCTTTTCTCCTGATGTGATGTATGCAATGACAGAGGACGCAGTCAGGAAGTTCCTACAGCAGGTGCTACTCTGGGTCAACATGGAGCCATCAAACAAATCAAGTCGCGGCAATGCAGTGCATGGTGCACTGAAAGACATTGAGGAGCTTATAACTAAAACACTGACCACACCAGAGGACGAGAACGTCATCGAGCCGGAGGACGAGAACATCGAGCCGGAAGACGAGAACGTCATCGAGCTGGAGGACGAGAACATCGAGCTGGATGGCGAGAACGCCGTAGAGCCAGAGGATGAGAACATCGAGCTGGAGGACGAGAACGTCATCGAGCCGGAGGACGAGAACGTCATCGAGCCGGAGGATGAGAACATCGAGTCGGAGGACGAGAACGCCATAGAGCCGGAGGATGAGAACATCGAGCCGGAGGGCGAGAACGTCATCGAGCCGGAGGACGAGAACGCCATCGAGCCGGAGGATGAGAACATCGAGCCGGAGGATGAGAACGTCATCGAGCCGGAGGATGAGAACATCGAGTCGGAGGACGAGAACGCCATAGAGCCGGAGGATGAGAACATCGAGCCGGAGGACGAGAACATCGAGCCGGAGGATGAGAACGCCATCGAGCCGGAGGACGAGAACGCCATAGAGTCGGAGGACGAGAACATCGAGCCGGATGACGAGAACGTCATCGAGCCGGAGGACGAGAACACCATAGAGCCGGAGGACGAGAACGTCATCGAGCCGGAGGACGAGAAAGTCATCGAGCAGGAGGACGAGAACGTCATCGAGCCGGAAGACGAGAAAGTCATCAGGCCGGAGGACGAGAACGTCACCGAGCTGGAGGACGAGAAAATCATCAGGCCGGAGGACAAGAATGTCAAGAGCGGACCTTCAGTAGTGTCGACCAACACCTCAACTACACGTACACATACAGCACAGAGGATAACCACCCAAATCATCACTGCTCTGGTCATGAGAATGATTATAAAGGCCCCTCAAAAGACCATGAAAGGCCTTCAGATTGAAGACATCGATGCCCTTATCAAGCGTCTGACGGACAAGGCGCAGGTCCAGATCGTCATCACTGACTCTGCTGTCAGAAAAATTAAGCACAGCATGAAAAAAGTGAACAAAGCAGTGATGGAGGATCTTAAAGAGGAGTTTGGCTCTCAAGAACTGCTCCTGGAGGCTGCAATGGGATCAGACCCCGTGTCCTTTGATGAGGCTTTTGTTAAGCAACTAAAAAGCCAACTGAACGTCCTCCTCAGTACAAACAAAAAGGCTGCAGTTGTCAGGTTTTTTAGAGCAGTGGGAAACGCTCTTACCAAGCCCTTCAGGTGCTGCATCGTGGGCTGCAGCACTGAGTAAAAGACAGAGAAACGTCTAGGGCCACACGGCAGCTCAGTGTTTAACACTGTGGCCTCACAGCAATGGTCAGGGTTGGATTCCCAGCCTTGATCTTTGCTGTAAGGAGTTTCTATCCTCACCGTGTTGGCATGGGTTTACTCCGGGTTCTCCGGTTTCCTCCCATATGACATAAAAAAAGAAAACCATCAACAATTCGGCAAAATTAACATCAAAAATTGGGTTTACTCCGGGTTCTCCGGTTTCCTCCCATATGACATAAAAAAAGAAAACCATCAACAATTCGGCAAAATTAACATCAAAAATTGGGTTTACTCCGGGTTCTCCGGTTTCCTCCCATACGACATAAAAAAAGAAAACCATCAACAATTCGGCAAAATTAACATCAAAAATTGGGTTTACTCCGGGTTCTCCGGTTTCCTCCCATATGACATAAAAAAAGAAAACCATCAACAATTCGACAAAATTAACATCAGAAATTGGGTTTACTCCGGGTTCTCCGGTTTCCTCCCATACGACATAAAAAAAGAAAACCATCAACAATTCGGCAAAATTAACATCAGAAATTGGGTTTACTCCGGGTTCTCCGGTTTCCTCCCATACGACATAAAAAAAGAAAACCATCAACAATTCGGCAAAATTAACATCAAAAATTGGGTTTACTCCGGGTTCTCCGGTTTCCTCCCATACGACATAAAAAAAGAAATCCATCAACAATTTGGCAAAATTAACATCAAAAATTGGGTTTACTCCGGGTTCTCCGGTTTCCTCCCATATAACATAAAAAAATAATAAATTACAAAAAATAAAACTAAAAAAATTAAGTTTAATTTGGTCGTATTTCTCTCTGGTGTCACATGTTGACAAGTTCTAAACACTAAAACTCAGGTTGAATCAGAATCACTTTGGCCAGGTATGTGCACACATACATTTGACTCTGACAAAATAGACATAAAATACTATGTACAGTCATATATATATATATATATATATATATAAACAAAAAACAATAACATTAGGCAGTAGGCTGAAATAAATGTTTTACAGGCAGGTAATGTACATGCGATAGGTGGATATGACAGTATATACAGCATGTACAGCATATAGGTAGATGTATTTGAATGATAATATTTATATATTAAAACATAAACTGAAATTCAACAATGGAAAAATAAATAATAAATAGCTTTCAGGTTCAGTGGACGTTAGAGTCCCCAGGGTTATTGTACAGGGATTGTTCCTGACACAGTGTGCCTGGAGGTAACTGTTGGTCAGAGCAATGGCCTGTGGGTAGAAAGTGTTCCTGTTCCTGTTTGTGTTGGCGCACAGTGCTCTGTAGCGCCTTCAAGAGGGGAGGAACAGGTTGTGTCCAGGATGTGATGCCTCTGCAGTGATGTTTCCTGCCTTGTTTCCTAACTCTGGACAAGTACGGGTCCTGAATGAAGGGCAGGTTGGCACCAATGATCCTCTCTGCAGTCCTGACTAAGCGCTTTACTGTTGATACACTGCAGAACTTTTCATATATGCATCTATATATAATTTAATATGTATTTGTACTTTGTGGTAGGTAAAAAATTTAAAAACTTCTCATAATTCTTGTCTTAAATGTAGCTTTTTTGTTGACATTACTGACATTATTTGGCTGTCATTACTGTGGTTTTGGCGCCCCCTGTTGGTTGTTGCTTACAGCACGTTAAACTGAGCAGCCCCTCCCTCCTCCTGCTGCTGTTGATAACATGTTTCTATTTCCATGTTTGAAGATGTACCTCAGTGAGAGCCAAAGCGACACTAGAACAAGAAATAAATATACATACATATCACCTATAGCTTTGGATGATAATATTATGTTTGGCTGTGTGTGACATGGCGGCACATGCATCACAATATCACATGATTTTACCTCACCATGCATGCCTGTCAGTCTTAATAAAGGTCGTATGAGTCTGAAAGGGGAGGAGAATGCATTATATGATGGGAGGGCGCAGTGGCAGCAGCAGTCGAGGAACAGGTTAGAAAGGAGAAGAAGACTGCAGAAAGCGCTTTACCCTCCGAGGATCGGACTTTCATTTCTTCGAGTTTGAATTCATTTACTTTCACTAACACGTTTGTAGTTGGGACCGAGGAGAAGGCAGCCGCCAAACAGGTGATATTACCGCTTCATTGATGTGTTTTTTCTTATTGATGTGTCAAGGATTAGAGGGTTTTATCAGTGTGTGTGTGTGTGTGTGTGTGTGTTACATCCAGAGAGAGGAGGGCTGGATAAGGTGGCAGTGAAATGTTATAAATGTGTGTTTTTAGAATAATGAACTCCTGATGAACTCAGGAGAGATTTGTATATACTTCCACTTTGTGTAAACCGGATCTTGTGGGTTTCTGCTGGTGCTGCTATAGCAAAATAGAAGCACGAAAAGCAGCAAGAGGACATGGCAGAGTGGGGTCCAGTGGAAAATATAATTATCACCCCCCCTCTTCCTCCCACTCCCACTCCCTCCTGTGCTACAACATGCCACTCCCTCTTTTATTGTCATGCAGCTCAGCTCTCAAACATCAAGAACAAAATAAGCCATTAGCTTCCACCGTATCACATGTTTTGTTATTGTTAAAGGACAAACTGGACTTCTGGACTGTACAGTGGTGCTTGTAAACACACACTTATTAAACCATTGGAGTGAGATGACAAACACATGATTGTAAGGATAATAGAACTCAAATTCAAAGTGACTGAATGAGGCCAGATGCATTCAGTGTTGGACTCTTTTTGTTATCCTCACTTTCTGTCCCCCTCCTTTCCTCCATTCTTGTTTTTTTTTTTTAATCACCCCCCCTTTTCCTTTCCCTTTCATTCCTCCAGTTTCCCATAGAAACCCAGGGAGTGGACCGGGAAGTGAGACCTCCTTTTGCTCCGTGCCCAGAAAAGTTTCAGCCAGCTCCTCGCCATGTCTGCTCCTGGTAAGTCTCTAAACATTTACATGTTTTTAGTTTATATTTAGACAGAAAACTGGAGATTAGGAGGTAAAGAGCTGTGATGTGAGATTTTCAAAACTTTTGAAACTCTTGCTTCCTCATTGGCTCCTTCCATTGTGTCATATTTTGCTGCCATTGGGAGTTGATTAGCCTCTTGCATCTCAAAGTTTCCATTACACTCTCCACTGAGCATCGGTGTGTAGTGAATCGAAACATTGTCCCGCCCCCAGATTCTTTAAGAAATTCTATCCTCCCCAAGGTGATGAAATTAGAAAGAAATTCCACGAATGCTGGTATGAAAATTGAAATGAAAACACTTCCGTTGGTCCTCCTCCCTCTGGACAGAGAGGAGCAGTTTTGGAGGTAAAAGGCAACCCTTGTGTGGCCATGTATGTGTGCACATGTGAACACGCTGGTCTAAAGTTGTGTGTTTCCTCCAAGAAGCGAAAGGAATGTGGAAGGAGGAGGAGTCACAACAAGCCTCAAAGAACACATACTGACGTCTGCTTTTTGACTTCAGCCTCTTGTTAGAAAGGCAGAAGTGGCATCAGTGGACCTCTGACTTTAATCCACATTCGTCAGTCCACTTCAACCGAGGAAGAGTCCCACTATGACCTCTAAAACTGCTACTTGCTTATGTTGTTGGGCTGTCCTGCCATGCAAACTAAAACCAGCTTGGTCAGCTATGAGGCAAGTCCTTGTTAATTCAACACTGGTGACGTGGTGGCGAATGATAGGATGTTTCTGTTATAAGCAAGGCATATAGCACCTTTCATCGCAACTAAACTCAATAAACTTTACATTTAAGTGCATACAGCAACAAGTCAGACACCTACAGAGGAATGTGAAAAAGCCACCAACAGGGGGAAACCATGTTTGTGTTGCCCACAGACAGAAACCACAGACACATTTAGCTAACCGAATATATATATATATATATATATATATATATATATATGTATATCGCTTTTTTGAAGGTGGAAACAGTTCTCATGTCATTAGAAAAATGCCAGAGGAACAAAAAAACCTCTCAACCAATCTAGATCTCATTCCTGTTACAGTTAGAAAACCTGACTGGATAGAGAAGATCTGTGGTGAAAGAAACAACCAGAAAATAGTGAAAAGTGTTATATTTGTGTTGTGTGTTGTATTTATAAAGTAAATAATATCAAGTATATTTGATGTCCCAAACATATTGGGTTTTATAATAATTTTATAATAAGAAAAGCAGAAAATTCTCACATTTGAGAAGCTGGAACCGGAGAACAATTGGCATTTTGCTTGAAAGAAGGCTTAATTGATGATCAAATTGGTAGTCAATTCATTTTCTGTCTCGACCAATCGACGAATTAACAAATCGTTTTGAGGGATGGGAATCCAGAACCGGTTCGGATGCCACTGAGCTTATCAATCCATTTCATCAATGACAGCATGTTTTTGTCCGAGCTGGAAAATTGTAAAACGATTTTGTCGGACTCATGACTCTGCTGGAAACATGCAACATTGGAGTCATTGGAGTCATGCAGGAAAGGAACTAATATCACGAAGGAACTCAAACTAACTCAGAGATAATAAAACAGTTGCACTGGTGCTCAGAAACCTCTGTAGACCTACTTTGTTCCAAGCCAAAAACCGATCAATCAATAAGGGATTTGACAAAGAATCGGACTGGTAAGCAGAATCAATAATGATAATCATTTTCAGCATTACATTAATTACAGATGAGGATAAAAATCACAAGAAGTGCAGGAATATGAGATCTTTTAACATCATCTTTACAATTTGGTGACTTTTTATTTTCTTTTTTATTGCTTGAATGCCACCTTTTTTCTGAATTAACAAACAAACATTTAATTCAACTTATATTCAAAGCAGAAGAGGCACATCTGCTTCCTCTTCAGGAATATATGTATCAGCCAAAGAATACATAAGAAAGGAGCTTTATCTGAGCCATTGTTGCTGGCTCTTCTGGGAGAGGGAGAAATCTTGTTTTTGGTTGAACAATCTGAAAGTAGAGATGTGGTCGATACCTCTTGCTGGGGAGACAGCGGGAGAGATAGAGAGGAAGAAGGATTATTATTAGCATGAAACCTGTGGAAATGCCCAAGCTGCCCTCTCTGACAGAAAGTCTGTATTGACACTACATGGCAGACATCTGTTAGCAAGCGAACACATGACAGCCAGCGTTCCACTTTATTAAATACAGACAACCTCATGAACTTCCCTGCCGCACCCTCTTTTACCGCTCTTTTCTCCGTCATGCACATATCATTTGTGGCTCTTTTAAACTATGTTTGAATGTGAGTGAGTGAGTGACTCAGTATTCTCTAATTGTTGCGCACATAAAGCTTTCTATTAGCTTTTAAAAAACATGTTTAGAGGACGCTTCTGTTGTTAGATATTGAAGAGCAGATCCTTGCTGAAACATGCCAGGGGGAAGTTTTGGATTATCCATCTTTATTTTCAAGGTTGATTCCTGAAAAACAAGCAAAAATAAATGTATCATATCATGTTTAAATGATGGCTTTCTTCTTATGAGACCTTATAAAGCATCCTGGCTCGTCTTAAGCAGCACCACTGCTGTTGAACCCCTTGCTGGTGAGCGTAGTTTGCTCTGGACAGATAAGCAGTGTCGGATTCATGCCCAAATAAATACTGTTATCATGTAATTTCACTGTTTACAGAGCTCTTTTTGGATAAGACGCGGTTCTTCAGAGAGTGTTTACTGCTAAAACATGAGAAACAAGAGAGAAACCACAAGGCCTATTACTGAACCACATAGTCCTCTATTAGCTGTTTATGTGCTCCCTTGTTAGTGCATTCAGTCGGCGCTGTGGCTCGGCTAATAAGTAGCTTATTGGCTCTGCTGTCCCAGTAGGGAAAAGCAGGATGATCCACAGTTAAACACACACACACACACTCACAGACACTTAAGAGCACAGAGCAGCTGCTATGGGCCAGAAACACACAGATCATGACTTCCTCCATCCAAGTCAGTGTGGTGATGACCTGAGGGTTGTTTCTGCATTATTTCTTATTCTTATTGAAAGGTTAAGGTGAAGTTGAAGCCCAGACTTGGCTGAAAAACTTGGTCACCATTTCCGATGTTGAAAACAGGAAGCAGCTTTTTTTTTAAAGCTTGTATTGTGTTTGGTTTTCATTTTTTGTTATGTTTCATGTTTAAAATGTAGGGTTTTATCAATGTTTCTTCATTACTTTTACCCTTTTTATCTGTTGCTTTCAGTTTATCTCTGTGAAGAAACAATGTAAGTCAAGTAAAAGAAGAAACCTGAACAAGATGTCTTTTTTTCCAGGTTACCCAGGCTCTCACAACCAGACACCTTACCCCATGACTCAGCCCGGCGGCCACTCCGTAGCCCCTTACCCATCTGCTCCAGGGGTGTACGGAGACCCCGGTCAAGCCCCTCCACCGGGCTTCAACATGGGCTACAATGCAGCCCCAAATCCCGTCATGTATCAGCCAGGTCCGATGGGTCCAGGCCCAGTTCCAGGACCGGAGTACGGCGGCCACCCAGGAGCGATCTCCCCCGCCCCGGTTGGAACTCCAGCGGTTGCTGTTGGGGTCCCGCCAGGGCTGGAGTACCTCGCACAGGTAGGACAGAGAAATCAAACAATCTGCATTGACATAACTCAGCCATGTCCAGGCAGCTGGTTTCTTAAGCTGCTCCACCGGTTTAATATTTCTTCTTAGAAGTGACTTTATCTTAAAGTAAGATGGATTATTCGTGCACCACTCCTTAAACTGGTTGACATTTACTGTGCTAAAAGGTTAGCGGGTGTGTTCTTTATAATCTTTCATGCTTCTTTAAGTGGAAAAAAAATTTCAGAAGTAACTACGTACTTAGTGTACTTCTCTAGAGCTGAAATAAAATCCATTACAGAGTGAAAGTATAAAATAAATAAATAAGTAATCTGGCTTTAGTTTGTGCACAGTCCAGATTTTTTCCATTTAAAACAATGTAATATGACATCAGTCATCACAACCTTTTAACTTGTAAAGATCACACCCAGCAGCTCAGTAGGTTTGAGGACATGGAGCTTAAACAAAGACTTTCACTTGCTTTCATGACTGTCCAGCAAAATAAACCCTCATCAGACAAAAAATATGGAGTTTGCAGGTAACAAGACTCTGGCCCGTCAGAAGTGACTCTAGTCCACTAGTATGGAGGCAATGTTTTATTTATGAAAATTCATGGGTGAAGTTGATTTGCATTGTAAACAAGTGGGTTTTCCCCTTTGTTTTGGCAGCCTATTCACTTGTTTTAAGAGGAAAAAGAGGATGGGTATATTTCGCAGTGATAAACTGTTAACTGTCTCCTCACATTGCTTTCTCTGGTGGTTTCAGATCGACCAGATCCTGATCCACCAAAAAGTGGAACTCCTAGAAGGTAGGAGGTGTTACTTGTTCGTTCATATTTACACTTGCCACTTTGAAAGCTGCACCCTCAAGCTTTGAATCTCATTATAAATAAAATAGATATTAAAATGACGTCTGTCATTGGAATTCTTTACTTATTTACTTTGTTATTCATCATTTCCACCCTTTCCGCCCGTCTCCTTTCAACCCCGCCCAGCATTCATCGGGTTTGAGACCAACAACCAGTACGAGATAAAGAACAGCCTGGGCCAAAAGATCTACAAGGCCAAAGAGAAGAACGACTGCTGCACCAGGAACTGCTGTGGATCGCTGCGCAGCTTCGACATGAAGATCAAGGACAACATGGACAGGGAGGTCATCCGTCTCATACGGCCTTTCCGCTGCGTTTCCTGCTGGTGTCCCTGCTGCCTGCAAGAGGTCTGTGTGTGTGTGTGTGTGTGTGTGTGTGTGTGTGTCAATGAATCTGTTTTAATAGGCTCATATTATATTGATTTACCACACCAAGACCAATATTGTGCTAATTCCATTGTTCATTCAGCAACAAATCGTTCGCTCCAGTTCAGAATGTTATATGTATTTATATAATATTTGCGTTATAATGTTTGCTCCAAGTGTGTCAAGTTAACCATTATTAATGTTGTTAGTATTTAACAATATTTATTGCCTGAAGAGTTTCTGATGGAAAAGAATGAACTATTTACCTGCTAAAGCAGATGATTCACAGCTTAGCTTTAATGGTTGAGGCGTAACAACGATAATCTTTTTTTGGGGGGTTCCTTTTGGAAATAAAGTTAACTGAGTACAAAAAACGAAAAATTTATGAAATAAAACAGGAAACAGTGAAAAAAAACCCAAGCATAAAAAAGAGTCGACAGCAAAAACAGAATAATATCAAGTGACAAATGTGTATTAATCCACAGCTGAAAATAGTTCCCAACAAATGGGCAATTTACATTACTCAATTGACTGTTTGAGTAATGTTGCCCAGCTGTTTTAGGAAATAAGTGAGCCTCTTTAAAGTGAAACTACATATTTGTGACCTGCTTTTGAAATGTTGTCTTTAGTAGGAAGTGGGCAAATCCGAAAACGCCGGATTGCCCAGAGTCGTCTGGACGGCGAAAAGAGATTTTTTCCGAAGCGATGACGTATTAGCCCCGCCTCTCTAGCCTTTAACCTCAGCCGCCGGCGGACTTCTACTACTTGTTTGTAAACAGCACATGCTCCATGGCTTCTCTTCCAGTTTTAGTGTATTGGTGTGGCGGCGTCACAGCGCCACATACAGGCCTGGCATATGTACTACAGCGTTTTGGGTCCGAAGCGACATCGTATTGGGTGAGGCCGCGTATTCGTGCTCTAAAAATTCTCTATAGAAACTGTTGACGTGTTGACAATGTAACTGGCCCACTGTTTATGCAAAGAGATGTTATTTGTTGTTAAGCTTGATATCAAAATCTGGGCAAATACATGTTAATCTATTTGCATGTCTAGATACCACTAAAAGTAACTGTAAACCAGCTTTCATTTAGAGGAGAGAAACTATTAGCATAAAAATCTGCAGCCTCACAGCTCATATATAGAGGCTTTTGTATCTCCCCCCCTTCGTCTTGTGTCACTGTTGAGTTGCTGAGTGGCGTTTCAGTGTGTTTGTGCTCCAGTTTGCTCAGGCAGGGTTTGTTAAGACTATGAATGGCCCTTTGTCCCTCAAAACTATCTCCTAGACTCCCCCGATACTCAGCCATCCCTCCACCTCTGAGATTTCTCTCTCTCTCTTCCTCTGTTTGATTGCATTTGGCAATCTGGCTACAGTACGTTCCCACTGGCCCGAACCCAATGCGCTGCACCCTCGCATACTGCAGTTTACTGTTTACTGGCCAGACAGGAGCCATGTGAGATGTATTACCTTTGTTATGTGGTGCCACAATGGAGCAGTCAGAGGCTCACTTACCCTTTCCTGCTGTCCCGTCTGACATGCTAACCCCGTGATGTGTTATTTATATCCGTCAGTGTCAAGGAATGAGGGCAGATTTGAGGCTCTCTGGCATAACTTTCTAATTTTGTGTCACGTTAGTTTGTGTATGTAACTATATACGTGTACTACAGATGGAGGTCCAAGCACCCCCGGGCACCACCATAGGCTACGTTAAACAGGACTGGCATCCTTTCCTGCCGCGGTTTTCCATCCAGGGAGCCAACAAGGAGACCATGATGAAGCTGGAGGGGCCCTGCTTCGCCTGCAACTGCTGTGGGGACGTCAACTTTGAGGTGAGGTCAAAGGATTGTTGTGTCTGTTGGTGAAACTCAACTCCTTTGGTAAATTTCATGTGGCTCAGCCAGCCAAGAATATCCATTCAGTTTATCTATCTAAAACAATTGACCCTTCCTAAGTCCCGCCCCCTTTTTGCTCTGTGCTCCAATAGCAGTTGAGCAGCTTTCAGTCAACTTTCTCCTTTCCTGTGTTTAGATATGCTTTGTGCTATGTGCTAGGCTAATCTATGTTGAAAAGACAACCACATTTTGAATATTGTTAAAAGATAAAAGCGACATATACATAGTCACATCTTAAGTTAGCTAATGTTAGCAAAATGTTTGCAAATAAAAAATGTAGATGTAACTAGCTAGCTATTGAGTTATTGCTAACTATGATGTGACTGTATAAGGCTCTATACTTATCAAAATTTGGTTGTCTGAGATATTAGTAATTTAAAACATGATAACTACCTTAAAGGTAGAGGTTGAAATTTTGGGAAAGGCACTCCTTTGCTTTGTTGCAGAGTTACACAGGAAGGTCAACACCATTGTCATATCTGTCTCATAAGTATGAAGCTGCAGCCAGCCGTTGGATTAGCTTAGCTTAGCACAAAGACTAGAAACAGGTGGTAACAGCTAGCCTGACTTGGTCCGAACTTAACTGCACCTCTAAAGCAAGAAAGCAAGTAAGAGTTTTTTTCCAAAAATTAAAAACTATTTCTTTAGAATAAAATTTGGTTGGAAACACTTCAACATCTTGACAGACTGCTTACAGCTCTCCACGGAGGGAACTACACTCCCTCTTTATCTCCTCTCTAACACCATCATATCACAGTATATTACACTTGATAAAGCCTTTTATAGACGTTGTTGCTCTTATTGTTCTGCAGCTGAAGGGCAAAGACAGTGATAAGTCCATTGGTCGCATCAGCAAGCAGTGGAGCGGCCTGTTGAAGGAAGTCTTCACAGACACGGACAACTTTGGCATCCAGTTCCCGCTGGACTTGGACGTGAAGATGAAAGCTGTGCTCATGGGAGCCTGCTTCCTCATTGTAAGACCACAGTCTCAGTTGTCGCACTTTGAATAACACCCATTTTTTTTTTGTATACATGCTGCGTCAGTCTGAGCAGGGGTTGAATTAATATCCTTCCTTGTTGTCACTTTGCAGGATTTCATGTTCTTCGAGAAGGTCGGTGAGGCCAACCAGCGCAGCACGGTGTTTTCATAACAGGAGGGAAAAAAAGGATTTGAAAACAACATAATGAGAACAAGGACTTACTCCAGTTTTACATCCTCTGAACACGCATTTTATTTTTCCATTTGTAATTTTTAAAAATAATTCCTTCGTCTGATTCCAGCCAATTTGGTGCCATCGTTTTATACCCACAGACCAATATCAGATAATGCACTATTGATTCCAGATGTTTGCCAAGGATTGTTTTTTATACTGGCTGCCATGTTGCCATTGTTCCTTACTCGTCCATATAGCCTGTAGACACTTCATCTATTTGAAGTGAGTCAACATACCTCCAGCTAAGATTTAATCCCTGCCAAAGAAAATCTATTATGCCCTTGATGTGTTTTTCAATTGAGTGGATAGCGACACGTTTGTGATTGTACTTTATGCTACACTGGCATGCTACATTTCATATTTATGGCGTATGTTTATTATTATTATCACACTCTAAACTCTAAAATTTTATGAAAAAAAATAGATCTAGTGTAAGTGCAATACTATTGTGGTTGTATTCAGTGCCTTGTTTTCTTTTGGCTATGCTTTGTCACTGTGAGCAAGTTCAGCCTCATAGAGCTGCTGGCTTCGCTGTATGAATTAACAAATGCTTTATATAAAACCTGTCCATTAGCCGCAGTAAACAGGCTGTAATTATTTAGCTTATAATGCGTGTAGTGGTTGTGTTAGCAAAAGAAATGGGATGATGTTTAACGCCTTTAAGTCGAAGTTGACACATGCTGACAGTATACCAAAGTGCTCTCTGCCTACCTCTCCCCTGCCTCAATCTTCCTCAAAGCCCTCTGTGTATTAACTGTCGCACAGGCTACAGTGTAAACGCTCCCCTCTGTGGTCCGGTGGTTGCCGTGGAGACACGGACGCCGCCGCCAAACCTCACCCTCCAATTTTCCCAGATAGCACTGTGTTGAACGTGTGCCAGTGTAATAGGACATAGTGACATAGGAAACGGTTTAAGAGTAGGAAAAGTCTGACTAAAGGAGGAATAAAAAGCAGAAGTTGAGGTTAGTGTGAACGTTGATCTGACCTCAAGAGTGATTGGAAAACCTCACCAGCGACGGATGAACTTTCTCTAGCAGAAAGAGGCCAGAATGTGAACTTGTCATGTGGAATTTAGTCAGTTTTAGCTCATTTGGTCGCTGTGCTTTGGAATGAATAAAAACAAATGTCATGTTAGTATTTGCAAATTCTGCCTATTGCTGTTGAAAGCAGCTCTGTTCTGTATTTAATAATCATTCTCCTTTTTTTTTTTTCATCGTTCTTGTGAGATAACATGGGTGTGCCTCTCCTGTGAGGCTTGGTTGCCACTAGTGCTCTCTAATCCAGACTGCAGCTCTCTATTACACTGTCAGTAACCAAATGTGTCTTATTATCTGTGCATACACACACACCAACACACACACACACACACACACACACACACACACACACACACACACACACACATATATACTGTATATATGTACATGTTACCTTTAACCTCTGATAAGGAAAAAGCAAATGTCCAAAGGTTGTTCAGTACATCTTATGCAATAACTTCTTCATTGGGTTTTACGTTAATTAGCTTTTTTATATCAATCATATCTGCAGCTTGTTTCCTATAAAAAATATTTTGTTGTATGTGTTTGTAACACTTGTATCTTGTGATTGTGAATTAAATTTTTTTTTTACAGAATCAAAGAAATACCCTGTAGTTCAGAAATAAAAACAAATGGCATATTAAGACATTGTTAGAGTGTTGTTGTCTTGTGTTATTCTGCTCCTCTGATTGTCCCGGAAAGTTTTGGGAAGGCCCTCGGAAACCTAAAGTCCAAATGTGGAACATCTGGTTTCACTTGGAAAAAATTCTCTTTGCTTCAGAGGGAAATCCAGTCTCTCATTCTCTGGCACAAAAGAAGAAAAAGTCCAGCTCCAACAAAACACTGCTCCACTTTAGTTACTGGGTAACTTTCTCAGTACAATGTGCACTTTATTAGTATTAATATCAGCATCCTTTATCTACCTGCATTTAGTTAACAGATTATATCCATGCCCTACTTCTGATGCAAGGAAAATAGTAGAAAACATCACATCCTTGCTCTCACACTGAATAACTCCTCCACCTTCTGGGAACATGTAGGAAGTACAATCACAGTATTTCTGGGAACATGTCTGCACATGCCCCTCCTTGCCTCAATGCTCCTGGGAAATCAGAATTGACTTGTCCCATAATCTGTAATCCTGTTTTTTTTACTGTACAGGAATCAACAATTCAGTGGCTTAACTGGTTGTACGAGTTAACCTGACATTCTGCATGCGGCTGCTGCTGTTGCGTAAAGCAGAATAATGCTTATTCATGGTGTGGTTGAATGACCTCTCTCTTAAAATAATCTTGATTAAGACCAGCACTCAACTAACACAACTCAGCACCATTAAACAGACACAAATAGGCTCATCATTGTGGTTATGTACTGAATACTAACAACATAAGTTTAGTTATCATTAGCATTACAATGTTTAGTGTATATATGTTTATTAAAATGCAAATGTACACATTCACATACACACAAATGTATTTTTGTTTATTAAATAAATAAATAAAATAATAATATAATTATTTTTATTCAACACGTTCTACTTTCTTATCAAAAACTGGCGCCTACATTTCCCACAATGCAACACAGCCGCCAACAGTTCGACGGAGATTCGGGTGTGTTATGCTAGTAGCGGCTAATGTAGCCTGGAGCCTCTAGCTTTTATAATATTTTTATAATATATTGTCAGACTCAACAAAATCGATAAAGCAGAAGAACCGGGGATAGTGTCTTTTTTTAATTCACGTATTCTTCTCCCTTGTCAAAACATGGTGCCTACATTACCCACAATGCAACCGCGTCGCCGCCGACAGACGGTAGAGTGGGAGATTGTGTGTTATGGTCAAGCAGAGCTGAGGAGCGGGTTGTTGTATGTGTCTGCTACACTGTTAGATTAAAATAAAGAAAGTAGAAGTAAAATCTGCAATGAACCAACTGAATACACTTCTCATACTATCACACGGCAGATCAACATTAATACCAGATCAATTTTATTCAATAAACAATAATTTCTAATAGTATAATATATACAAATTCATTAAGATACAAAAACTATTTGCAAAAAACACATCATGTAGTGGATCATTAAAAATGTAAAATAAAAAACAGTCAAACATTTAGCCTTTTTTGCTAAATTTAGATGTTTCAAAATCTTCTTTTCCTTTTGTACATTCAACCATCTTCATTCTTCTACATCCGTTCCCATGTCAAGGTCCCGTATCACTTTCCAGTGTCAGAGTGTGTCAATGTGAAAAATGCCTTCAAATATCAGCCAGAGAATCACGTCAGACTCGTCTTTCTGTGCTGACTGTGGGTCGCTCCCTCTCGCCGGGGCCGGACCGGTCTTCCCGCGACCATCGGATCAGGTAGCGGCTGGCCAGCTGCAGGTTCCACTGGTTCCTGGTGAGGACCCTCAGACAGTCCTCTTTGGAGCACAGGCTCAACAAGTACAGCTGCTCCAACTAAATAAAGACACAAGACACAGAATCAGGACACAAAATCCATGAACATCTTGAGGATATATGGAGAATAAAGCAAAGAAAACTTTATGTAACTCAGTGTTTGCCTTTTCAGAAGTGTTTATAAAATGATTTAAACTGCACTAGGTGGAATTTTTACAAGAAAAAACATACGTATATTTATTGTTGTGGTAACATCATGCTGGTGCAGCTTTAATGTCATGTGAAAAAGCACAACCGGGTTAACCTGTGCACAAATGTACCTATGGGGCCCTATTATGTTTTTATATTGCTTATATTCTTAAATCTTACCTTAAGCCCTTTTTATGTCCTGTACAACTCCCTTGCATCAGCTGCTTTTCTAAGTGACGCTTTGTAACATTAACATGTAGATTTACATTGAGAGTCATTTCATGGTCTGACCTTGAGTTGTTGTTCAGCTCGCACTGGGTTCCAGTCATTGCGTTGAAGTGCAATATGGACCTCTTCGATGGTCACTCCGTGCACGGCCTCCATAACCTGAGAAGAGGCGAGCGACAGACCTTTTATTTGACTCCATCCAGCAAGTATTCACCCAGAAAAAGAAAACAATGAGTCTCTTACCTGTGAGATGATGCTGTCTCTCGTGTTCAGCACATGAGGTGACTTCTCTCGATCTCTGTTCCGCTCCCTCTCTCGCTCCCTCTCTCTGTTGTCCGAGTAGTCATCTAGCTGCGGGGTGGAGCGTGCCAAGTGGGCCATTTTAGCCAGGTTGGAGCCTCCGACGACCTGCTGGGGTGGAGGTTGAGGTTGAGGTGGAGGCTGAGGCTGTGCTGAAGGGGGCACCTGTGGAGGCCACGAGGTGCCTGGGACCGGGTAGATAGCAGGCTTCCTCTGGGGTTTCATGTTCAAGCGTTTCAGGTTGGGGGGAGGCGGGCGCGGCGGCGGGATGATGCTTGCCTCGCTGAACCGACGTGGGTCCTGCTGCATCATCACATTGTGAACTACCAACCCTGGAGGTATGAGTCTGCCATGCTGATCCACTCTGATCATCCCTACTGTGTTAGAGCGCGGCCGTTGTCCGCTCACAACTGACTCAAGGCTCCGGGACATACCTGAGGACACAGGAAGAGACCCTTTTTAATGCACACAGAAAAGTTACTATTACAGTAGTTGAGTGGTAATGAATGACGGAAATACATAGTATCTGTTTAGTACTGAACAGATGGAGTGTATATAGCCTAATAGGCCACTAGAGGGCAGACTGGTCAACTGAGTACATGAGCACATTTACAGTCACATCCTGGGTGAATAAGTGCTTCATGTCTAACAGAAATATAACACACATCAGCAGGTAAAATAGAATTTGTGAAGAGTGTGGGCAAACAACTTTACTTAGCTGTAAGTAAAACATTTTAAGGGCCTAACATACATTTGAAGCAGTTACGGCATCAGAAGTGTGAGCAATAGCAGGTAAAAAGGGTGTCAGCCCATTTTTCTTTAGGTTAAACAGTTTATTACTGGAGCTGAACAATTTTGACAAAACCAAACATCACAATATTTCTGATGCTTTTTATAGTAGATGACATGAATTCAGTTCAAAATAAACTCATTAGTCTTCACTGAACACTTCATTGTGTTAAAAAACTCCACTGTAGTGCAGCGTTTAGACCAGGAAAAGACAAGATAGTGTGTATATATATATTACAAAATTATATGGGATGTTTATAATATTCAACATCCCAGATGATCTATAGTCATATATTAATAATGTTACCATTATCCTGATATAAAGCACATTCTGCAGCTGGTTTTATGTTCACTTCCTACCTGCCATTTTCTGCAGATTGGAGACATCCTTCTCCCTGGCAGGGCCCGGCCTCCAGCTGCCGCTGCTGCACGGGTCAGAATAGTAAACAGGTTAGACACACAAACACACACGAGCTATATTGACCGACAGCAGGTGAAAGTTCAGGGCTGCACTGCGGTTAGCATTCTGCAATAAAACTCAGTGAGATGGAAGTTTATCTGTAGTTTCTACGTGATATAGGCAGAATAAAAACACACTTTTATTTGGAAAAATCACTACTAACAACTTGTTTTCTTTGGTTTGTGTTCTGTTAGGTCAATAAATTAGAAGAAAAGCAGGAAGGATGCCAAGACTACAAGGCAATAAAAGAGACACCCACGCTAAAATAATATAATATTACAGAAAACAGCCACTAGACTTTGTATCTCCGGTTTCTTCAGTTTGAGTTGTATTTTTAGCTTCAGGTGCTTTAAGTATTGGCTTTCTCCACAAGTTACTCTCTGTTTACGTAACTTAAAAGCAGCCATTGTGAGACACAGCCTGACTGCTTTATAACCTGGAATCCAGCTCAGTCAGTAAACTATAATTCCAGAGTCATTTTACTGCCGTGCAAGTTTCACTTTATCACATACCTATTTTTATCCCTGCAGATAACTGGCCAAGCCTACAATACATGGCTTTGTGTTGATACTTTCAGTTCAGCTTAACATACAAAGTTTGACAGCAAACAATTGTGGGCACTTGTTTTTGTTGAGAGGGCGAGAGCGTTCAACCATCATACAGCTACAGACAGAGAGGAATTAATAATTATATCACTGACTCCTCCAAGTTCTCAGGTGTCCCCCAACAGCGCTCAGGTTTGATGTCACCGTGCCCGGAGTGATGCAGGCTTCCCTTCACCGGGGGTGAGATGTAATTGGAGCTAGTAGCAGGGTCGGTGGTGGTGGTGGTGGTGGCGGCGGCGGCGAGCAGCAGCAGCAGGAGAGAGGGTCGGCACAGTGAGGCTCGCAGGAAACCAGCCGACTGTCAGCGTCCTCTGGTTCTGGCCCCTCCACTCACACAGCTCCAGACTACACAGAGAGACACAGGAGAATAAGATACTAATTGACTAACACAAGACTACCTATCCTGGGCTAAAACATAGTATAAAGGTAGCAGTGAACTGGCTCTGTTAAGTCTGCTGGTTAGCTAAGATTAGCCACCATTAGCTACTGTTATACCCGACACAGTAAGGCTGTAACAGCAAAACCTTGAATCTATTTAATTAGTCAGTGATGTGTTTGATTACTCATTAAATCAAACTTTTCATTTGTAAGAGGAAGAAGAGTTATTTCTTCTTTTAAATGTCACTTTGAAACATGATACAGGTAAGAAGGTATTAGTGTTACAAGACTTTCTTTGTTCCATTAATCTTTACGGTCTGTTAGAGAGGAGAGAAAGTAAATAACACCTCAACCAGCTACATTTGCTGTGAGAAGCGACAGTAAGCTTTAAGCTTGAGGCTTAGTTTGCACATACTGTTTCCAATAGACCTTTTTCACAGCGGCCATTTTGACATGAAACCGTAGGGTAAACACAGGTGATACTAATAAAGGTTCGGTTCCATTCAGAGGGGTATTGCACAAAACCAAGATAAGGGATTAAGCCGGGATATGTTGGTTATCCTGGCTGAATTTAGCCTCAAGTCGGTTGCATGAAAGCAGGTCAAAGTTAACCCGGCCAAGTTACTATGGTGATTTATTCTCTGCAACTAGCCTGCTCCTGACCAGGCTAACAGCCAGGCTAAGATTAATCCTAGTGATTCACCTGTATTTCCACCGTCAATCCTGTGAGGAATTAATGTGTTTTACAGCATGTCCATGGTCTTTCTAAGTATGTTGCATCCTTTTAATTATCCTGCATTAAAATATTACATATATATTGTCATTTCTCATTTCATTTCAATCTGTTGGCTGTTTGTAATTGCAACAGTCTTTTTATATTGATTCAAATGGTAGTATTATTACTCAGGCCAAGTGTTATATTGCTATGCTTATGAAGACTGCTTGTCAAAATGCCATCAGAGGTTTCAGCTGATGAAGTTGCAAAGGTGTTTTCAAGGGCAATATAGTATATATATATATAAATACACAGCTGTGTGTGTATATACATCTTGTACATAGGTGTTTTTATATTATTTCCCTACTCTTACTGTTTATTTATACTGTCTTCTCTCTATCCATTTTGCTGCTGTTACATTGGAATTTCCCCATTGTGGGACAAATAAAGGAATATCTATCTATCTATCCATCCATCCATCCATCCATCCATCCAACTCCCATTCACCTGTTCCCTCTTCATAATGGCTTGCCCTTTCTTGGAGGATGTACTGGATGAGGAAGCCCTAATCCTCAGACGAGCATTTAGTCATGAAAGAGTCTTCTGGGACAGGTCAGACCCATTGGCTGTTGGAGATGACTATCTCATTGAGAGATACAGATTCTCAGGTGATTGACTAAGATATTTATGTAGGCTGCTGGGTCCAAAAATACAGCACCAGACAGCAGGAAGCCATGCTCTCACTGTACCACAGATGGTGTGTGTTACATAGAGATGTTTTGCAAGTAGGAGCTTCCTTTATTCTGTTGGGGATGCAGAAAACCTCAATAAAGGAACCATTTGCTGCACATATCCTGGCTTGGTGGGCCGCCCCCTGTGCCAGTTCTATGGATTTTTTCTTTAACTGCTACAATCATACAGACATTAAACATGTCAGCAGACACCTAATCTATTCACCTCATTTGTTCACTGTTATCTGCTTTAAAGTCACTTACCAGCCTGCAAAATGTTCTTGTATTTAACTTTTTTAACATTTTTACTGTAACTTGCTGCCAGGTCTTTTTATGGCCAGACAAGTTTGTTCTTTATGAATTGTTAGCACTTAATCATACTCTACATTTCCTGAGTAACATGCACCTCTACTTGCCACATTTAAAGCAAAGTGTACAACAGTTGATTAGTGGACTTAAAGTGACTAATTTAGTCCTTTAATTGTAGCCTAATTATGACAGTTCCAGTGGAGCACTGTTTATTAATTGTACAGTTATGGACTACTTAAGCATTAAGCCGGGCCGCTATTGTCTGCCAGGCTTTCTCTCTTTCTTTAATTATGACATTGGTATTGCCTTAACACGCCTCAGCCTCAGCCTCAACCTCAACCTCCACCCCAGCAGGTCGTCGGAGGCTCCAACCTGGCTAAAATGGCCCACTTGGCACGCTCCACCCCGCAGCTCGATGATTACTTGGACAACAGAGAGAGGGAGCAAGAGAGGCAGTGGAACAGAGATCAAGAGAAGTCACCTCACGCACTTATCCCGACTATCTACCCCTGGTTTAACATAGCCGCGCCTTTTCATCCTGGCTCAGCAAACGTGCAACCAATTAAGGTTGAGCAGGCTCAATTATCCTGGATTTCTTTATTCTACTTTTGTGCAATACCCCTCTGGTCAAACAGAGTCAGGGTGTTGCTATTGTGCATGTTGGCTCACTGGAAAGGCTCTGCTACACTAAATGGTACTGAGCCTTAATTAGTGTCATAACACCTGTGATTACCCTACTATTATTTCATGTTGAAATGGCTGCTGTGAAAAGGTCAAGAATGAACTTCATGCTAAAAGACAAAATAAATTGGAACTATAAATGGTTGGGATGGAAACATTTGCAGATGATTCTGTACCACAGTAGGATTTTCAGTTGTTTCTAATTATGTGATTGACAAACATTAATAATACAAACATATTGTTTATATGTTTAACAGTCTGTGACTTTCAGTGACTTAAATTATTTGAATGGCCTGTTGGACTGTGCATTATGTGTTGCTTAATCCAAATCTAATGTCTAGATTACAAATATAAAATGAGAGATGAAAACTACCAACAGTGATCAACAAATATCACAGATCTTTTATGTAAACAAAACACAGAAGACTGTGTCGTAGTTGCTAGACTTGTTCAAACAAACAAAGCAAAATGCATTCGAGGACTCAATGAGATCTCGGCTGGAATGCACTTTTGAGTGCAGGCTGGTTTAAACCCCCTGTTTTATCTTAACAAAGGCCCATTGTGTGGGATAAAGTTTTCTCCTTTACTCCTTTAGTCCCACCCTTTTTTCTCTCACCCACCCATGGTCTATGACGGTCACAAGGTCGTTGGCCACAAGTGCAAGTTTTCTGGGTTCAGCAAAGTCTCTTGTAGCTTGCACCTCCATTGGCTTAGCCTGCAGAAGTCAGGGAAGATAACAGAAATGCATTTTTGCAGCATTTTAATTAAGATTCTTCTGATAAATTCCTTTCATTCAATCACCAGTGACATTGAAAACATTATATTCCACACCTCTGCCACCATTATGGTGAGCTGGGCGAAGCTGGGTCTGTCAGCAGGATTGCAGGCCCAGCACTTCCTCATGACAGCGTACATTTCTTGCGGGCAATCTGCCGGTTTCTCCAGACGCTCACCCTCCCGTTCCACACGCCACAAAATCTGGATTTGAGAGAGCGAGTGTTAGACATACTCAAACTGTGAGTCACAGAGCATATCACAAAAGCAAATGCCATCAGGGCAGGGACACATTCCAAACACGGAGACAAATACGCTGTTTGGTGTGGATACAAACACCTAAAGCATAGCTTGAGTGTTCACGTGTAGCTGACAAGCGTGTACCTGTCTGCCTGACAGACCGAACCAGGGCTCCTCACAGTAGGTGAACATCTCCCACAACGTGACGCCGTACATCCACACGTCTGAGGAGTGGGAGAAGGAGCCGACGCGAAGACTTTCCGGAGCACACCTGAAGAAGAACCAGGTAGATGGACCACGAGGAGTAATTAGTGAGACTTTAAAATATTATTTCCTCGTCACAAGTTTGACTTTTTCCAACAGCCCTCACCATGCAAACGGGATCCTTCTGTGTGCTGACATGACGTAATGGTCTGTCTCTTGGCTCAGGCCTCTCATCAGGCCAAAGTCTCCGATCTTCACCATCTCCCTGGATGACAGCAGTACGTTTCTCGCAGCCAGGTCCCTGTGGATGAATCTCTTGGTCTCAAGGTAATCCATACCCGCCGCGATCTGGGTAGCAAAGAGCCAGAGGCGGACCAGAGGGTACTCATACTGACGTGACCGCAGGGTGTCGTACAGTGAGCCCAAGGGGGCCAGCTCTGTTACCTAGAGGAAGGAAAACTGGGTCAGTTGGTGTTTTCCAGCTCCATCTTAAGTTTGAATAGATACACATATTATCCCTAATTCACGTCGTACCATCTTCAGCGGCTGTGTGAGCACCACACCATAAAGTCGGATGATGTTGGGGTGATCCAATGACTGCATGATGGTCACCTCTTGCAGGAAGTCTGTCAGTGTGTCCGTCTGCCTGCTGCTCCTTAGTGACTTTACTGCTACAGGTAACTGAGAGGAGTAAAAAGAGAGAGAGAGAGAGAGAGAGAGAGAGAGAGAGAGAGAGAGAGAGAGAGAGGTTAAATCCCAACCCAGTCCAAAACCAGATTGTGTGCAGGGACAATAAAACCCTCTGACAGCAAGTCTACATCAGTGCTGACTTGGAACAAGCTCTGGTTTTGGTCTCTACCAACTCTTACAGGGAAATATTTGTCTGTCAGCTGTTTGGTGCTGAGCAGGTAGTGTACTCTGGGTTTATTAGAGTTATTTTTGATGAAAGCAGCTGCCAGCTGCGGCTGGAAACCACAGTGATGCACGCAGTGAAAGTGAACGAAAACAGAAGACGTCGGCAATAAAACCAAAACAACTGGCTGAAAGAGACTAAAATGCTCCTTAGAGCTGAGCAGACGTGCAAAGTCGTGTGATAAGTATCTGTGGGTTGATCACAATGAGTGACCCCTTTCACATACACTGTCATTTGATCTGTTGTTTAGATAAAAACATTTATTATAGCAGCTTTAAGTACTGCCTTGCTATTGTGTCAACACTATATTGATCCTGCACATACCAACACCTTTTAAACTGTGCATGCATTAAACATAGCATCTATTTTATAGTACATACTGATTGTTTTGAGGATGTTATATCAGTAACACCTTACAAGAAACTTTAATTTCATGTTGATTCTGGCGCCTGTGGACAAAAGCAGTAGTGTTATCACCACTTTGTTTCATTGAATTCAAGGGAATCTGACCCTCCAGCAGGCATTAAGAATAACTATATAGAAATAGCCAATCTTCCCACTGAAGGTCATGTTTGTTTATGTAGGTCATATAAAGGCGGTTTAAATACTTCAGGACATACAACATCTATCAAAAAACACTTGTACAACTGTCTCTTACCACTCTCCCGGTGGGTGTGTGCCACTCTCCCTTCCTCACCACCCCAAAGGACCCAGAGCCCAGCTTCTCTCCCAGAAGCAGCTCGTTGTCCTGGATCAGACATGGCAGAGCCCGACTGACGCTCTCCTGACTCTGAGCCGGGCTGCCTCCGCTCCACTGCTCCCCACCGTCCGGACCTCGACTGCTCAACCCCTGTGTGCATCAATTAATTCATTAAAACCGCTGATTACTGCAATGCCTGATTACACACATTAGATATGAACATAATTCAGACCTTGGGAAGCCATGATCGTGATTTTGTCTTGTAGCGTTTCAGAGCGTCCCATAATCTTCTTTGTGCTGCAAGAAAAAAAAAAAAAACAGTAATTATACCGCACATGATATTTCTGTCTGATTTCAAAATCTCAGTTTTAGTGTTTAATCTAAAGTAAATGTTACTGTTTTATTAACATGTTTTAACCAACAGTTACTCCAATGTATCCTTCAGCACAACACTGTTATTATTTCACTGATCAAGCAGGATATTGGAGCAAAAATAACTTTATAAAAGTGATGATTAGTCAATTAATCAATTTGTTGATCAACAGAAAATGTATTCTTTGTTTTGATTAGGTCAGTTATTAATGAAAATATTCTGGTTCCAGTTTCTCAAATTCTTTCTAAAAAAAAAAAAAAAGTTTCAGTTTCTGCTTATTTCATATAATTGTGAATCTTTAAATTTTGGGATTGTTGATCAGAGACAACAAGACCTTAATAGACGTCACTTTCAGCTCTGGAAAATTGTGATGGACAATTTTCACAATTTGAAATCTCAAGTGTTAAGTTAGCTGTTGAGGATTACACACACCTCCTGTCGTAACTCTCTCCATGTTTTTGGCCTTTGCCTCAAGGCATGGGGCTTGATGTGTTGGTAGTGGCAAGTCACCACAAAAGATATGATGAGGATTTATTTGGAATACATTTTTATACACGTCCTCATTTCAAGGAATAAAAATACGTCAGTGCTTTTGCAAAAAAAGGGTGTAATCCTAATATAAATAGAGTGCATATCTCAAAAAACCTAAACAGTTGTTGGGTCTAAAAACAACCTGAGAGCAGAAGTGAGAGAAGAGATCGTCACACTGCATTGATTGCTCTTAAAAAATGTATTTAACCAAATTAATCTACCAGACTTGTAGTGCAGAAGACCACCACCTGACTGAGGGGTGTATTAATGTGTCAATATACTGATCTGCTCTGAGGTGCTCACTGTTAAATGTCTGTTAGATCAAAACAGAGCTGCAATTAGTTGATTATTTTATTTTATTTTTTTATTATTTGCAGCCCTTGAAATGTTGTTATATTACACAAATATGGAGCAACATGCAAAGAAACAAGATAACAAAATGGAAACATAATATCTCATTTACATAGGAGCTTTAAGTCTAATATGTATATCCTCACTTTGACGTCTTGTGCACCAAAACAAGTACATTTATCTAATTTTAGTGTATGAGCAGGGTTAATATGTATAAGACATTTATAAAGAATCTCTTAAAAATGAACATTTTAGTTTTTATACTGAACAAACTCCATAAGATGTTTTTGAAAGCTTTAGATTTAATAAGTAAGTGGATGTTGCGATAAGAGTTATAGTCAAACATTAGTTTATGCAGATGGACCATTAATCCATCAGCGCTGTAAATCCGAAGGCTGATTGGGGGCCATTGAAAAAACAAACACACAACTGTGTGTAAACAGAAGACAGAAGTAGTCTAAACCATCTTTTGTCTTGAGATGAATCAAAACCTCAGCCACTGAGCCAAAGAGGAAGTCCTCCCTGTCTCAGAGGACAGATATGTATTGATTTCTAGCAAGTGTGGATGATCAAAGGAGGCGATCAGGCTCACCTGGCTTGCTGATTCCTATCTGCTCCAGGTCGGACTCCTTGACGTAGGAGAAGTGCTCGATGCGGGTGATGTTCAGGCCATCTCTCACTCGCAGGTAGAACTTCTCCAACTGGACCTCGGCCAGGAGTTGGTACAGCCACTGAGTATCCTTGTCCATCAGCATGACCCAGCCCACCTGCCTTCAGAGCCAGAGGTTATAAGACACTGCAGGGACACTTTTTTTTATCTTTTGTTTTTCAGTTTTCCTTGTACATCTAAATTCCTTACATTAAATCTAATCAAATCTTTTGTTTTTTGGTCATTAAAAGGACAGAAACTAAGTGCTCAACTATGTTTTCCAGTCTGGGGACCAAAGACAAAACCCAAAGACACAATTACAAACCAGTGCTCTATCTGAATCTTCCCCATCTCATTAAAGAGCCTGTTAAACCGTAACTTTGCTCCCACTCGGGCCTTGTTAGGTTACCATGGAGACCTAACAAAGAGCCCTTGGTGTAAAATGCCAGAGGGGGATTGCACAGCTTTTGTCTGTGTGCCAACTTGTAACGAGTTGTTTGTCAGTATCATATGAGAAGGAATCTCATACTGGAAACTAATTCACTGTATGTGGCAACACACAACAAGTGGCAGCAGAGTATATGTGAACGTGAAGGTACACCTCAACATACAGGCCGTTAGCTGCTCGAATGAGAGTGAAATCACATGAGCGAAGTGGTTGAAAGGGGACAGAAGAAGCACTGGAAGCGGAGGCATGCAAAGAGGAAAGGGGGGACGAAGGGGACAGGAAACGAACAAAATATTTCATATTTCGTATCAGTGCTGTTCACTGGGATGTGAGTCAGACCGAGTCCTGACGCACACTGACAAACTGAGAGGTGGAAACATGATCTCGTCGGTGGTTTAGGGGCACCAGTCAGACAGGATCCTGTTCACACAGTATTTATGTAACTGCTGAAGACATGCTGTGTGTTGACAGCAGCCTGACTCTGTTATAAGGCTGATTGGGGCGTCATTTACACTTACAGACCTTTGAGGTTGACAATGAAGTAATTACAGTGCCCTGAGCCGTGAGTTTAATAACAAAAGATGATTATGTTTGCTCAGCTTCCTTACTGCTTAAAAACTCAAATTAAAACGCAGCAAATTCCTCTTTTGTTGGATATAATCTTCCGTTCATGTTACTAGAAGGTTGTTCGGCCATAAATCACCTGCTTATCAGCACGCCGAGCCCAGCAGGTATGAGTCAGGGAACATTCCCCTGTCAGCTACCCTGGGAAAAGAATTAACATTTACAACAAACAACTAGCACTAACTACTTCGTCTGCGACTTCGAGTCGGCTCATTCTTACACTGATGCTGCAAAAACAAGGCAAGTCGTGTAGGGTGCTAGCCTGGGCTTGCATTCATTTCCCAGGGACAACTCCCAAAATTAATTTGCACCTGACTTAAGTGAGTGTGAGACTCTGCAGGACACATTCAAATTTAAAAGAACACACTCATGTGGCACAGGCAAAGAGACCTCTGTGATCTCTCTGTGTACAGAGTGATGAATCTTTAACCTGCACAGCTACTGAAAAAAAAAACAACAACCTCTCAGCCTGATGGCATGTGTGACCAAGAATCCAACTATTTAGCTAATGGCTTAATGTGGTTGAACAGTCACTGGTTAAACTGGCCCTGACTTTTATCTTACAAGGCTTTATCTGCAACTTCAAACTGCCAACAGCGGTGTTTATCCAGTGCGGCCACACTTGTGTCGAAGAGCATTTGTTTACAGTGGCGATGCCGGCTTCCTCTGACTGAGCCCAAGAACAAATCAAGATCACAGCCCACACACTTGAGAAGCTCATTCATCTTTAACAGAGCGGCATCGGCATTAAACGTGCCTGACTTAGGTCACCACTATAGATCACGCTCATATAAGAAGGGAAGGGTGTGCCTCTTTAAAGAATTGGCCAAGATGTGCATTTTTTCCAAGTACAGATATGAGCACAGTAGAAGACATATTTAGATCTTTTACCTCAGTCAAAGTAGCAATAAATGTACATATATATATATATATATATATATATATGTACTTGTATATGTATAAAAACCCCACTCTTTATGCAGCAGCCCCTCTTAGTGTTATCTTATTATGTGTTATGTTGTTGGATTACTATCATTGATGTGTCGGCAGCACTTTCATGTTTCAGGTCTATTTTATAAATTGTATAGTTTATAGTAGTTTAATATATAATAATGCACCATAATTTATCAACTGACCATAAAAACCTCAATCTGAGAGCTAAAACTACATTTGTACAGAACTATGTCAAATAAATGCAACATTTCCCTTTGAAATAAAGTTTAGTATCATAAAACTGAACCTCAACTAAAGTACAAGTATCTAAAAGTGTAATAAAGTAGTCTATATTTAAATGTAGGCCTTCTTAGTTTATTCCAAAGCTTGTAAAAGAGACACAGTATGGTCCGTTGGGCCATCTGCCATTCATGTTTACTCTCAGTTATACAGTAAAAGGACATTACATGTAGCATTAGGGTCTTCAAACACGTTCACAGACAGATATAAGATCTGACACTTACCGTTAATCAAAATAATTCAGCTCTCCGGTTAACAGCTACTTCTTAACCACACACGCCCCGAGACAAGTGATCCATGTTGGCTTTGAAACCTCAAGCGACGTCGACGTAGGGGCTTGTTTTCCTCTTCCCCCCACAAATCACAACTTCTCTCTGACTCCTAAAATAGCCCCAAATAATCCCCAATCTGACAGATTCGTGCAGAAGATCAACACACGAATCTATATCCTGTATAGTGTGTTACATGTGAGCCTATAAGCGCCTCAGTGATCTACCTACCTGTGTGTTTTCGGCTCTTTTCTCCGCCTCTTTCCAGTTTCCTCATGAGACCACACCCCTACTTTACTCACCTGAGCCTGCAACAGCACAAACATTCAGTCAATACGAAATTACCTGCACGGGTAATATCGTTACCTGATGCCGTCATCAGCACAAAACAACAAATATAGGTCACCAATTAATAACCATGTGGCAATGTGGTGGAAAATAGAAGTTAAACTCACATTTTTAAACACATTTTACACAAACAAGTGGATTAAAAGTTAATAAACTCAACTGACTCTTTATTAAGTACATCTATTTAGAACAGTTTTAGCTTTAGTTTTAATAATAATAATAATAATAATAATAATAATAAACTCTATTAATTAATAATGTGTAGTCTTTGTGTGAAGCTGTTTTAGTAGTAGAAAGAAGTATAGAAACACCCCATTAAAATACAATTAAATTCAGCAGTCGGCTACTACAAATATCAGCCTCTAAAATGACCATAAAGTTCAGCAGTAGGATTGTTGTATATTGCATTAATGAAGCTATATAAGTGTGGGCCTATAAACCTTCAGCTGCGATTAATAAAATGGAAATATTAAAGCAATTAAATCTAATTTGTTATAGTGTGTTGTTTTCCTTACAGTAATTGATCACAAACATCTTTTTAACTGCTACCATGACTCAAGCTATCCAATAAAACTTATAACTCATGGCGAAGGTACACATTATTACTGTCAATAACATTATTCATTCTCTCCACTGCTATTATGTCTAATGAAACTTGCAATGACCTATTAGTCAAATAAGGAAACTTGAATGGTTTTCTGTCTCAGTCTCTCCTCCATGCCTGCTGTTGCCAAGCAAGTTTGACAGGATTTTTTTCTTTCTCCCATGAGGCTGATCATTTGAATGCAAACTGTGGCGGACCTGTCTGCACTTTGCACTTCCTGGTACAGTATCTCCCACAGTCACTCCTCCCTTCCTGCCTGAATTACTCAACACACAATAGATTTCAGTGGATCAGCCATTCAAAGGACCCTGCAAACAGGAGCTGCTGTGGAGATCTGTTTACACCTCTCGATGCACTTCAAACAAACCTAGATTAAGAAACCGGTGGTAGTTCTGTTTGATGATTGAGAGCTTGAGACTTATAGCAGAATGAAATTGGGTTTTTAGGAATTCACATTAGTTTTTCACAATGCTGCAGCCAAGAGCTTAACAAACAATACAAATAATGACAAGCACAAATGATGACCGGGAAACAAAGCATCAGCATAACTCACAATTCATGTAAGTCATCATTAACCCACCCGACAGGTATTTAGACAGCAACCGGTCATTTCCAGGATTTGATGAGCACTTGATTCTTCAGGGCTAACAAGGAGTGTGTATTTACACTCCTTCTGCTGCCTTAAACCTCTGAGGCTAAAGTTTGTGAGTGTCAGTTTACAGTTTGCAAATGTGTGAAATAATGCACCGACAGATTATTGGCGTTTCTATGGGATCAAACCAACAAGATTTTATAATATTATTTAAGCTTTCAGATCTGCTGTAATTCTCACAATGTGTTTGTCCTGGACAGGGAAGGTGATTAAAAAAGATAAATAAGATAAATAAACTGTGTTGATCCACTGAAGTGAAATGTGGAAGAGGTAAAGTAGAAAAAAAAACCCTCAAATAACAAATAGAGCAAAGTTAGAAACACATTACCTCTAGACAAATGTAATAAACGTAATGTGCAAAACCAGTTTTCACATATTCCAGACGAAATTGACACTGTTGACATATAAATTAAATAAATACTTTTAATTATTTGTGTAGCCTTTTTGTGTGAACTATTCCCTCCACCATCTCTCCACATTTGCGTGTCTATAAGCCCAGTGTGTGTGTGTGTGTGTGTGTTTGTATTTTCGGGCCTGTGTGTGTGTGTGAGTCAAACATTGAGTGAATTTTCCCATTTTGGGATGAATAAAGTTAATCTTCTTCTTCTACTGTTAATAAGAGATATAATCACACATAATGTGAAAATAATGTAGATTGTAAACTTGAGTCAACATGTTACTTCATTACTGATAGTTAAAATGATGAATGTCCTTATTATTATTATTATTATTATTATTATTATTATTATGTGGCAGCCATCAGAGCATCAGTGATGGTGCAGCCTGTACAAGTTGAATGGTTATTTATTTAAAAGACAGTAAAGATTATTAATAAAAATCTACTCTGTCCTCATAACGGATCGATATTGATCACCTATTGGCTGCTGCCCTCTACTGTGTATAACCTGTAATAACGACTGCGACTGCAAACGTCATCATAGCGCGACAACGTTTTTATTCGGCTTATATTAATACTGAAACTCTGATTTGTCAGATTATTTGAACTAAAGTTTACAAGGTTTTATGTTAAAGCAAGAGGTTTTTTTTTTTTTTTTTTAATCTACAAAATAAAAGTCACCGGAAGTTGGTTCTCCGTTTGTAAACACATGGCCTGTAGCTGTCGCAGGCTGACGCTCAATCATGCCAAAACTCTTTGACTTAAAGTTCCCGGGAGGATGTAAGACTCTTCCCGAGGGCTTCTGGTCGGCCGTGGACGTGTGGATAAAGAAACCTCACGTCGTCAACAAGCGTCTGTGCGGCGTTACGGAGACGGAGGGTGAAGATGTGGACCGAGAGGCTCTGCGGTTCCTGCTGCATGAGCCTCAACTCTCCCACCAGGTGTTCTCCTTCCTCACCTGCGGGGTTACACCTGCGCAGACGCACGACAAGGACAAACCCTGGTCTCACAGTGTCAGAACAATCGTCCCTAAAGTCAACTGTTACGGGACAAACGTGCACAGAGAGGTTGTACTCAAAGGTAAGGGTGGATTTTAATGAATGGCTCTAAGACACTCTGTTCTCTTATTATAGCTTGTTACATTTTAATTATTTGTTTTTGTTCCAGACTTTGGGAGACAACAAGTCACCTTTCTTCCGTTTGAAGAGGATTCAGAGGGGCAGGTGTCTCTAAAGAGGGGCAACATTTATCAGATTCAGCTCCTCCATCGGGACTGTGAGACATGGTGAGTGAATAATACTCATAATAGACATTTAATTACATTTATTAAGTCTGAAATACCTTTGTTTTTGAACATGTTTACACAGGATCATTATTTTTCTTGGTTTGGTTTACTGACAACATTATAAAATACAATGTATATGAAGAAATACTGAATATGAAAGAAATAAAAATAGTAAAATGAATCAGCATTCATTCTTGTTTTCTCTTAGAACAACCTGATTAGTTAAAAAGAGAGCCAGCTACATTATAATAAAACAATAATCAAACTGAATATAGTATCAGCAGTGGGTTACATGGACCTTTGTACACGTTGTTTTTCCTCACATAAATACAATGTTCAATGAGCATTAACAAATACTGAGTTACACTATTGGTATTAAAGTTCAGTGGGACTTCACTCTGACTAAGATAAAAGATTAATAATGGAGTAAATCTACCTGGACACTTATTCATTTTTAATAAATGCAGAAAGCTGACACAGGCAGAAAAAATGTTCTTCGTTTAAGTTAAACTGAATACAATGTTGTGCACAACCCTTACATGTGATAAAGGGGCAGTGTTGTTTACAGTAGTGTGTATTAATGTGTGGAGATATCAGCGTTTGTGTGCAGCTGTAGTCTTTATAAGTGGAGCTCACTATCACTATATAACAGTGTAATAACATTATCATTTGAACAGATTGTATTATTATATGTAGCATATGTTATTATTAATATAAATATAACAAGATGAGGTAGATTTAAGTAGCGGTCTCTCTGCTGGAGACTTGTTTTTATTTGTTTTCCTTTCTTTGTCCCTGGAAATGTTTTCAGATTTAAAACTGTGTCTTGCTTTCTAAATCTGATGGATAAAAACAGGACAGAACATAGAGGAAACATTAAAAATGTAACACCGCAGGAAGAGTGTCGGGTAAATAAACAAAACTTGATTTGATCGGAGGGGAAAATGGGAGCAATCTGTGTGTATATCAGAGCCTGATTTACCTGCTAGGGGGTAAAAATTAGCTGCTGGGTGTCTATTAACGCCCCATTTTACTCACTCTCTAGGCAATAGGTGCAGTTATTCTGCTAGAACACTACGGGGGGGAGAGTGATTTGATTAAGCACATTAATTTAGAAATGTCACACAGGGACTCCTGAAGTCAGACCTTTAAGATTAATAAAACAGCACCAACATTAAGGCTTTTATCTTGCCTGTACTGTCCTGTAGTGGCACACGAATCCTCGTTTAAATGAACACAAACCAGTTGAAACACAGTAAGTCTGGAGCTCTGAGTCTGAGCAGCAGTTCCCCACTTAGGCCTGGTTGCTATATCAGTGGTTTTATATATTATTATTGGTTTTTAAATTAGAATTTATGAATTAAAATGATTGTGCACATACAACAAACTGAGCGTCTTTATCTGCAGGGCCTTGGAGCTGCATGCGCTGACTCCAGACGCGTGGTTCTCTGATGGCGTGGCATACCCGAAGCTGCCCTGGCTGTCCACCGACCTGCTGCCTAAGCTGGTGCGCTGGGCCACCGAGTGCAGGAGCAGCGAGTTCAGGAGCACCTTGTCTCTGCTGCCGGTGCAGAAATACAGCGTCATGTACCAGCAGCTGAAGGAGAAGTACAAGGCCATGGTCAAGGTAAAGGTTATATTTAATTTCTTTTAAAAAGATATATATATTTTTGCACATTTCTATACAGCTCTTTACTTGTTTATTTAAATATCCGGCCATATTGTACATATTCTCTTCATATTTTCATATTTATTTTGTCTCTGCTTTTATCTTTAATGATTTTTTTCTATGTTTTATTGTTATGCACCAACTTACAGCGAGTTCCTTGTATGTGAGACCGTGCTTATTAAACTGCTCTGTTGCTTTAATGCTGCTCATATTTATGAGAGATACTGAGTTCTGATATTCTTCTTTCACATGTTGTCTAGGTTTGGCCTGAGGTTACAGATCCTGAGAAGTTTGTCTATGAGGATGTTGCCATAGCTACATATCTCCTTGTGAGTTCAAACCTGCTTGTTAATGTTGTTTTAATCTCAAAATCAATGACTGATTGATCAGTGATACTTGATCTTGAAGACTGATACGTGAATTGAATAACAGTCCTCACTCCTCATATGTGTACGACCACACAAACATGTCCGTATACAGTATGTATGTGTAGGTGATATGTTTTGAGGTCACGCAACCAAAGCTGGGTCAATCAATTTGAGTGTGAATCATGGCTTTGACCCAGTAAATCAGTTCATATGTCACACCAGAGGAAGGGGAAAGGCTGTGTATCACACTGCAGATGTAAACTAGCACGGATGGAAGCTCTGGTGGATGTACAGTAGTATTGAGTTTGTGTCACTGTACTGCAGGTGCTGTGGGCTGAGGAGCGAGCAGAGAAAGGTCTGACTGCGAGACAGTCTTTTGTGGACCTGGGCTGTGGAAACGGCCTCCTGGTTCACATACTGACCAATGAAGGGGTGAGTTAGTTGCTGCGTGAGTGTTGTCCTCTCTCTTGTAGAGATGATTTGTTTTTGAATGTTAATTAATCGTCGCATCCTGGTTAAAAGCCACAGAAAACCACCATGATGTGACCTAGATAGGTGATTTCTGACCTAATAATGTCACAGTGTGTGTGGGAATTAGTTAGTGTGGGAATGATAATCACAATGTTCATTTTCACTGAAAAATAACTATTAAACTCATGATGATGTGACATTTGTTGTCTGTACCAAACAAACATGTTTTCTTACATCTGGAGAACAAGATTCGTAGCCCAGATTATCTCTACAGAACCACATTAATTCATAATTTATTTATATAAACTTGCTCTTGTTACACAGAGCTCTTCCAATTAGCCAAATCTTCAGTGGCAGCTTTAATCAATGACATGGGTCTGCTCGATCAGCCCAGGTGAGGGGATTCAAGTCTCTAAATGTATTAAATCTACAGCGCCATGTCGCCCCTAATGTCCAATCACAGACGAGGACAGGTGTAATTGAAATTACACACAGCGGGTTGATAGTCGGAGTGTGAATGTGGCTGAGAGCAATTAGCCGCTGACCGTCACGCCGTCTTGTGTTGCAGCATCCTGGAAAGGGCATCGATGTTCGGAAGAGGAAGATCTGGGACATGTACGGCCCCCAGACTCTGCTAGAGGTGAGCGGGCTGAGCATGGAGAAGGCGGATTAATTGTAGCCATATTCAGGTTTTTAATTAGGGTTATTATCTTTTCACGTGGAGGCCATATCACACGCGGTAGGTGTCTTTTCATGTGGCGTCGCCCCCTCACTGCAGCTTTAATGCTTCACTTTTAAAACAGGTTGAACTTTTCTGCTGTTCGTATGAGACAGATAGACATTTTACAACGTGAGGAAATCTTTTCTGTTAAAGCACAAAATGGAAGTTCAGTTTCTGACAAAACAATCTTAAAGTCAAGGTCCATTTAATTTGCCATTTTGGAGCTTTCAGTTAGGTCACATGAGCTTCATCAGTAGTTGGACGTTCGCTCTGACGGTAAAAGTTGAGCTCCAAAGTTCAATCGCGACCTCGGAAACCGAACAATGCAGTTTCATGAGCTGATGAAGTTCATGTGATATGATAGAAAGCTCTAAAAACAGCTGCTAATGGACCTGGAGGTGAGATTGTTTCGTCAACTGCTGTTTCCAATGTCAAGATTGAGTTTGAAATTTCAAACACTTCAATTTTAAATAAAGACATACATTTATGAATAAATATATACATCTACATTTAAAATACTCAATTGTTTAATTAAGTAATAAATAATAAGTTATAAACACTCAAAATACATTTCAGATTTCAGTTCTTCTACCAAACATTGACCGGTGAAACTTAAACATAAACCCCATCTTATTATTTATGTAAGTCCTGCACCAGAGATAAGCAATAAGTCGATTAGTTGATCAGAAAATCCATTGTCAACAATTTTGATAATCTTTTAAGCAAATTTATATTTATATTTGTTCAAGCCTCTCAAATGTGAAGATTTCCTGCTTATTTGACAATATATGACAATAGTTTGGTGTTTAGAGCTTTTTGTTTGGACAAAAGCATTTTGAAGTCACCACCTTGGTAGTTTCTTATCAACCAAACAATTAATATGTTAATTGAAGATTCTGAAGATGAATGCATGTCAGTGGCAATGAACATCTAACTGTTAATCTTTTGCAACCAGTAATAAAGCACATTTTTACACTAACATTACATAGAACGGGCAGTGTTGTACCTCAGATACTCTTGTATCAGGGGACTAACACTGAGCTCAGACATGTAAACATACACACATTCGCAGGGAAACCTGCACATTCCTGTCTGCCTCGTGGCCTCATTCATTCATCTGACAACAAGCTGCTGACTGCTTCCATTTCAGGTCATCTATTATTGACAGATTTTTGCAGAGCGGATGTGGCAGACCAATCTTTCCGGGGCCCCTTGGGGGTGCTGTACTCAGTCCCAAAAACTTAATTTGGAAGCTCTCTCTGTGAGGCTGACATGCCTCAGTGCTAGGATTATGTTATTTTGATCATCTAAAAGTAATTTTTTTATGAAGAAAAAAAGTGTTCCAGCACAAAGACTGAATTAGTTTTTATACATTTCACACTGACAGATGTTTTGTGAGATATAAAGATTGACAGGATTCAAAAGTTTTCCTTTTTTTAGACAATTTCCATAAATTGATTGAAAATCAAATCAAGCCGGCGCGCATCTTCCCTGCTCTAAGAAGCTCTTGTGCTTTTTGGGTCTATTTCAGGAAAAGGCAATTACTCCCAGCGAGAGCTTCTTATTCCCGGGTACGGACTGGCTGATTGGGAACCACTCAGACGAGCTCACACCGTGGATCCCCGTTATAGCAGCCAGGCGAGTCATCAGCAGACACAATCTCACTCAGCGGCTCAAGTGCCAGCTGATCTCTCCAATTGGGAATAACATTATGGGCAGAGGGAGGATGTGTGAATATGTGTGTGTGTGTGTGTTTGTTCCTGTGTGACTGTTCACAGCTCTGTGTTTTGTCAGGCGACCACCTGATGGCGATGTTGAGCCTGACTACAGATGATAATCTCTAGGAATGGATTGTTGTTTCCTGTCTGTTGAACAGTTTCAGATTCTTACCTAAAGGAACATAAGTAGCACACAAACTAATTTACCACTGAAGATTTAGAATCACTCATTTTCTTTGGCTCTGGGTGAGAATGTGTCTTTTTGCTCTCACCGCAGGTCTTCTTACTCCTGCCGGTACTTCGTCCTCCCCTGCTGTTTCTTCGACTTCTATGGAAAATACCAGAGACGCCAGTGTAAGAAGTCTCAGTATAAGGAATACATCGACTTCATCGCCGAGGTCAGTCGAGTCAGCGGGTTCGAAACAGAGGAGGACTGCCTGAGAATACCATCCACCAAACGGGTAGGCGTACGCAGTCCAGAGTCAGAACTGCACTCTGTAATCTGTGTTTGTCTTCCTGTATTTTAAGACTGATCTGTAGGCATTTGTCACATTGTGCAATTGATTAAATCTTATCTTAGTTAAATGGAGCTTACCAAGATCTATTTAAGCTATTAGCAACTATTTATTTTGTTCTTAAAAATGACAACATACAAAGAATTCCTTTTTAACCCTGTGACCTATAGTGGTATAAGACACATACAAAAAAAGAAGAAGAAATTATGACAGAAATCATTTTCCACTTCTCTAAGGTTGTGAGGCTTGTGAGAGTCAGCAGAGCCCAACATACCCTGACCTTTAGGCCCTAGAATGGAAAAACCTAGAGCCTACACAGCGTAACTTGATAGTGTTATTAGATCTTTCCACATCCACAGTTTCTAACACTGACTTTTTTGTTATCATTTTTAAGCCTCAATCCCAAACTAAGAAAACCTTGATGCCAATTTCAGGGTTCAGACTTTGTTAAGCTCCACCCAGAGCCGGGATTACTATAAATAATCAATAACAATAATAATAAAATGAACTTCATGCCCCAATTTTCTGCCTAAATAATAACAGAAATTGACTGTTTTGATAATTAGACCTCTGAAAAGAATACATTATGGTTGTAGGTGTGTACTCTAGCATTGCATTGTAACTGGTAACAGAGTCTAATCTGTTGATTTACATAGTACATGTTCACACTGTAGTAACTTTTCACAGTACCGTCGGTGTGCAGAACGACTACACGGTGATAGAATCAGTGGGTGGTAAGAAGTTAAGGCCGTGCGCTGCTTTCTTGAATCGCTAATGCACATGTACCTCATACTGATGAAGTCGTAGGTGTGACTCTGACTTTGGCTGCGTGTTATCTCTTTTGTCTTTTGTCTTCTTTCACCGTGACTTTCCAACAAAGCAGAGATGTCACGAACATATTTTCTTTTTCTTGTACGAGAGTCATTAGATGTTTGAAACGAAATTTGTTAGAAAATAAAATCTGTTCTTGTTCTTTAGGTACAATTGTGCATCCTGCTGTTTCTCCACCTGAGCCTCACTTAGTTTAGACGGACTGAAATAAATAGTCTTTATCGCCCCCAGAGGGAGATTTCTTCTACGGCTGGTAGCCCTTAATGGCTTCAGTACACATGGACACATATAAATATAAGTGCTTTGTCCACATTAACACACGTTGAGGATTTGTATTGTCTACTTTTCTAGTTTCTGGTTTTACAGTCTTCAGTCACAGCACCCATGGGAGTCGTCCTGACATTCAGCTCCTCTTTCTGTAGGTGTGTCTGGTGGGAAAGTCGAGAAACTACCAGCTACCCGACGAGGCGGAGGCAGAGCAGCGGAGAGCTTATTATGTCGAAAGCCGCCAGACCACCACTGGGGTCACAGTTCAAGGGTCAGACATCAGAAATGATGGGAGCTATTGCCATGGGAACAGAGACACTGATAGGACCCCCGGGACCAGCTGGGGAGCCGGGTTCCAGCCCAGAGACAGGGTTGAAACGGTTCGAAACTGCGCCAGTCTCCCGAGGGACTTTGTCGACGGTGTAGTCCTGCAGGTTGCTAATGTGCTTCTGGGAATGACTGAGGATGACAGCAGGGGGTCCTCCAGCGACTGGAACCGAGGAGGTAAACAGCCAGCAGCCACAACAACACCTGAATAAATAAACAAATCACAAGAGTCTCCATGGACATGAGCTGCTACTGAAGTGAACAGGTTCAGATTAAATCCAGTTTAGGACACATTGGATCAATGAGCTTCACAGACAGTCGTATTAATGGGTGAAGGAAGAGATTAGTATCTACAGAAGTTTTCAGGCTGGCTGGCAAACTGAGTAACATATACAGAGGTTGTAATGCCTCCGTTTTCTGCCTTTATACAGTAGGCTGATTACAAGAGAAGACAATACTTAAGAAATACAGATACTACACGCTATGAGGGGAAGATGCAGTATCTACTAGTCTGTTAACGGATTTATTTACATTATTTACAGCCCATAGCTTATAACTAAATGTATTTCTGTTTTGCTAGGTTTCTGTCCTCCTTCTAATAATAGTTATATTGCGGTAAATATAAAAACACATTTACACATTAATGCTTTATATGAGACAGTAACTATCGGCTAAACTAGTTACTTTAGCTTTAGCAGGAGTTTCGCCTGTTTTTTTTCCTCCATCTTAGTTTGATTTAGCTGCTGCCTCATTTAGTTATGAATTACTGTAAGAACATTTAGTTTTAACTAAGGCTAGCAGTGGCTGTCTCTCTGGGGGACGGTGCATTACTCTGAAAACCCAGTAGTTGGAATAATGTCTCATTGGACTCCCCTTAATACGTTAGTTATGTTGGTTAAGTTACGTATGTGATATGATACCAGAAAAGCTAACCAGCTACTGAAATGTAATCCTGTATTTAATAGACACAAAAGGTGAATAAGTGTCTTCCTCAAAATGTCAAACTCCCTCCTTAACTCCATTTAGACTAAATATGTAGTTACTGTGTTTGCCTTTGGAGGGCAGCTACAGATGTAACCTGAATGCCTCCAAAACAACACGGATGAATCACTTCTCACATTTCTCTCAGTACCTATTTTAAAAATATATATTTCTAGGTGCTTCGTGGCACTTTGGCAGCTTCTGCAGCTTCTGAACCTCTCGTCTGATTCCCCCCCCATCATCCCATCTAACCCTCCACCTCCCTCGTCAACACCCCGTCCCCTCTCGGCATCAGTCGGCAGGGCCTTCGTGACACACGCAGCGAAGTCACTTTGAACCCTGTATCTCACCCTCCACCAGCCTCTTCCTGCACCGCACGGTACAGAGAGTACCACGTACGCATCACACACACAGATACACACCGTTTCACTCACACACCGCCCACGCATCACCTTTGTCAACGCCTCTGCACCCCTGCTGCCACACAGAGACACACAATATGAATGAGATAAGGAAATGAAGACTACTATGATTAAAACAGAAAATTCTCTGTCAGGGTGTCAGTGCTGAAATTAAAGGTAGAAAATATGAGGGAGAGCGAATAAAGGCAGTCTGTGACTCTGTATAGAGATGACTGGATGAATAATGCACCACCGTCTATGATTTATGCATGAGTATGCATTTGTATTGAGGTATTCCTACCAGTTATCTGCTGTGTAAGAACAAAGGGTAAATTCAGGGTGAGCCAGCCTATGTCGAATAGATCCAGGGGCGGCCTCGGAGTCATCGAAAGGGCTTCTCTACATTTTTAATGCATCTTCAAAGAGTGTGAGGATTATTGATATTTTAATATCTTAGTTTTTGATATTTAAAGTGATCCTGAAGTAGAATTTTAGTTGTATAACCTCTTGGCTTTAATGTAAGTCCAAATCTTGTTTAACAAATTCATCAGTGGCTCCTTTATCTCTCATTGCAAGTACAAACACATTTTTAGCTCGTAAACAAACATCTTTAATGTATAAAAAAAAGTACAGCTTGTCATCTTTTTAATGTAGCAGCCAGGAAACCTTTCTCATTTTAAACTATTATAGTTTTATTTATTTAAGTTCAGAGTTTGAAACCAATATGTAAAATGTTGACGCAATACCAGCTGTAAAGCTGTTATATATTTCTGCTCTGTTAAGTTAAAATCTGTGTATCTCACATCGTTTTTTGAATAGTTAACGTGTGAAATGTGCCATCGTGTGAAGCTGGCTTCTGTAGCTTTGAGTCGAGTTACTAATTCATACACGCTGTCCTGCTGACTGGACTCACGTAGTTATGTAATCATGCTGAGAACGAAAGGCAGTGTGAAGATGTATGTCTGGCACGCAACCTCAAATCTGGTTTCTTACACGTTTTTTAAGTTGCACGCAGTATCTCATGTAAATGTCCCGTGTGAACCTCTTATATGTACTGAAAAGACACAGCTCGGATGAAAGAGGGAGCGGGTGAGAGTTATAGTCTGTTATTAATGGGTGGGCGCCTCCCATTACACTTTTTACCACTTTGGTCCAACAATCCTTCAGAAGGTCCAGCAGTGAGTTGTACTTCCCAGAATCCTCGTCCTCATCCTTCCCATCTTTACAGATTTGAACTGCACTCACCCGCACTTGGATTACACCTTATTCTTGATATTAGAACTGCAACGATTAGTCAGTTCATCAATTAGTTGGTCAAAAGAAAGTCAAACCATCGTTTAAAGGTCCAGTGTGTAACATCCAGGAGGATCTATTGGCAGAAATGGAATATAATATTCATAGGTGTGTTTTAATTAGTGTTTAATCACCTGAATATAAGAATTGTTGTATTTTTGTTACCTGAAAGGAGCTGTTTTTAAGTACAGAGAGGGCGGGTCCTCTTTCACAGAGTCCGCCATGTTTCTACAGTAGCCCAGAACGGACCAACCAAACACTGTAGTTTCTGCCATTTTATAGACCAGAGCAATTGCTAGAATAATCTAGAAGGTAATTAAATGATTATATCAATATTCTATATTAAGAATATCAGTCCTACATAACATTATTTCGATAATTTGTTTTGTTGCTGTTTTCACATTGTAGAGCCATTTAGAAGCAGTATATTTGTGACAAGTAATGGCTGCAACATCTTCGTTTTTACTATTATTATTATTATTATTATTATTATTATTATGATTATTATTATGAGTGAGATAGCACACTTTATCCCGACTTCTTTGTCTTGTGACCCTTTACACCCAAGCATGCATTGGCCTTGTTGTAATTTTTGTAGTTGCTAAGTGAACCTTGTGCATTTTAATTGGTTTCATTTAATAGTTTTTGAGAGTCCTGAAGAGGTAAAATTGTGTTTCAAGGGAAAGCAACAATTTTGTGTAGCAGAAATATATAATTTTACTCTTCTTTCCCAACTGATTATATTATGACCCTGTGGCGTAGTTCTTCTTCTTCAGGTTGGGTAAAGATAGTAACTACTTTTGAGCTCTTCTCAGCTCTTAATAGCCAATAAAATAAAAACAGGAGCAGCCCTGTATTACAGCTGTGCTCTTGGTAGCTGAAGATGATCCTTTCAATTGTTTTTGCTACCACTCAGCAATGTTAGAGCTAATTTTCTCTACTCAGCCTGATTCTGAATTGGCCTAAGCAGCAAAAACAATCATGCACCACAAGCAATCAATCACTGGCCATCTTAGCGTTTTGCACACGGGACGTTTATCCTTAAAAGAAAAACTGTACGCGGAGCCATTAATAATCGACTGTGTTGGTCCAAGTCCAAGCAGAGTCAACTCTGTCAATACTGACCTTCTTCCACTAATTCCCATTAACATTGTAGGCAGTAAAGGGCAGCTCTAAACTGTGTATTGATATTATATTAAGGCCTGGAGCTCCCTGGCGTCTGAGCTGTGGGACGGCAGTCTGCCCAGTTTCACACTCTGCAGCGCAGGACTGTGCTTGGCCGTGTGAGTGTCTGTGAATGTGGGAGGGTGTTGCATATTTCGGGGATTAACTCAGCAATTTGACCAGCTAAATTAGGATGTATTACAGTGGACAATATGTTTTCTCATGGATTTATTTCAGTGGTGGAAAAAAAAACCTTTTATAAAAACTGAAAACCATCACAGCTAGATTAACTGTAAAAATCATAAACAAAGCTCATCATTTATTTCTTTGAGTGAGTCAACTTATACCAGAGGCAGAGACAATATATTTCACAGTGAAATTCTCTCATATTCAATCATCTCTGAGCCAACGGGGATTGGCCAAAGTGCCACCAGAGATTCGGTGTGGAAGCATGATGAAGATCGCATTAAGACGTCTGCAGATTTAGGTCAAATATTGTTATGAAAAAGGCACAAAGGAGCATTGGAAATCATGTGGTGTGTCCCTCTCCAATATGAGGAGGAGGATTGTCATTTATACAAACCAAAGGTCAGCCCTGATTGAATTCTCTTCTGGGGGAAAAAGGGCAAAGCCAGAAATACCAAAAATCTCATGAAACGGAGCCCAAAGGCGGAGCGCTGTGAGCACAAAGGGGAACGCCATTTATCTGCTTACTATTGGCTTCAACTCGTAGCATACGACTCTGTGTAGGCTATTTCAATATTCCCATCTTCTTTTTTGCTCTTCTAAAATTACTGTCCCAGTGGGGGAGTGACGACAATGACTCACACGCTCTCGGAGCGGCCGGTGGGAGATGCAGCGGTGAAATGCATGCTGGTTGCTCTGACAGCTTGTTGGAGCAGCTTTAATTGAGCACACTTCACAGCCCTGACTAACACTGAAAGACAGTGACTGAGGTGTTTTTTTTTTTTCCTATCTCGCCCCGGTAAAATGTTCTGTATATAGCATTTTGTCACCCTTTCACTCCTGGAACATTTTCACTGAGGACAACGTCACGGCTCTGCCTCTTCTCAGAACAACTGGTGACATCGACTCAAGCCAATCAGCTGTATCGGGTGCTCCTTTCTGACTAGTGATGGATAAAAATGATTTCTGTGCATGCCTGATGCAGCGTGTTAATATATTGATGAATGTAACATCGATAGACCTCCTCCTGCTCCCTTTTGTCACTCTGTTGTTCGCTCTCAACTTTCATCTCTTTCTCCCACCGCCTCCCCTTCCTCCCTCCTCTTCAGGCAGCCTCTCGGTGAGCGAGGTCGCCGGGCTGTTGGAGCAGGAAACCCTGCAGCTGCTGAAGAAGGAGTGCGGAGGCCTGCAGACGCTGCTTAAGAACAACCACCAAGTCTTTCGAGGTAGTTGGGCTACATGTTATATATACATATGTGGATAAATGACGGGGCAAAGTGTCTTCTCCCAGATGGGGTTAAATGCAACTTTCCTCTGAAGGGGCAAAATATTACGAAAAGTAGTTTCAGTGTGTGGAGTTTGCTCAGTTGTCATGGAGATGACTACAGTTTCAAGGACACTTTCATAGATATTGGAGATTTTATTTTATTGTGTATTGGCATTATATTTAGTATCTAAATCAGTGCCAATGACAGTGGATTAGACACAAAGGTATATGAGGAGAAAAATAAAGACTTTAAGAATAATTAAGATAAAAGAAAAAAAAATCATCAAGAAGATAATAACGCTGCTGTTTCTTTACCACTTTAACTTCCCATTTCAGAGGTGTTCTTTTAATTATGTCCTCCAGATTAATATTTTAACAATACTACAGGTTCTTATGGCTATCTTTTTTAAATGTTTAAACTTTGAGTCAGGATTTACTGTCAGTTTCTCTGCGGCGAATGGCGTCAGCCTCTGTTGCCATGGAGAAGAAGCCAGTAGCAAATCAGAGCTGTAGGACAATCTGAGTACTTAGTTGATTAAATTGGGAACAAAACATGCTGAATTTATAGTGAACTGCTTTCAACTGCTGTATGTTTTATCAGCTCTTTATAAATCGCTGTTTGGGAGTTGTAGTTTTATGTACATATACTTGTACATTTTAACTTAAGATATCGGGGTACTCTATAGGACCAGATTTGTTTGTAATTAAATAAAGGAGCACTTTATTCTGAAGAGATCTTGTATTGTCCTTCTCTTTCAGTGGAAGGAGGGAGGGTGTACATAAGAGACTGGCGGGACAGGAAGTCCTCCAGGGCGGATACCAAACGGAAGCCCGTTGCCCCCGGTGCCATGAAAACTCGTCCCTGCTGGTTTTACGACCACCACCCTCAGCGCTGCCCCCTGCAGGCTGAACACTGTGCCTTCGCCCACGGACCTGATGACCTCCGACCCTCAACGAGACCTCTGAAGAAGATAAAAAACGACGCCTTTCAGTTTTGATCATTCCTCCTGAACACTCTAATTCAACTAATTTGTTTAGTTGATTTTTAAATGAACCACTTTTCTAATTACCAGCATTCAGTGGGTCCATCAGCGGTTTAACCTGCTGTGAAACGTCCCCTCATTGATCCCTGCAGCCTCAAAGAGGAAGAAGTTCAGGTGCAGGCAGTTTTATTAATGCGGCGTTGCATCATTTCAGCGTCTTCTTTCATCTGTTTGATGCCTCCTGGTGCAGCTGTAGGTTTCACTGCTGGAGCTCGCTCACCTCGAGGTTATGTTGCCTGCTGAAATTTAATTTCAGGGGATTATTTTTTCTGTCTTTTTATTTATTTAAGAAGTGGACTTGAGGAGTAAAGCTCAGAAAATTGTAGACTTCCTGTATATTAAATGTAATTTCAAGCTACATCTTTGTACTTATTTAAAGATTATCGAGTCTATTGTGGATTTTTTCATCCTGGTGGTTTGTCGAGCACTACTATTTTTCAACTTTTCACTCTGCAGCAACAGAACTTTAAAAGCTTCTATATGCTTCACTTAGACAGTTAATTCACCTCAGACAGGTACTTTGAGGTTCACAGGGAGGACGGAGGATAAAGACCGGACAGCGTTTGAACAAAGTAAATGTTAGCGGTATGAATTATTTGTTGGCAGGAGTTGAGGGGTGAGCTGCGTGTCGTCCCCTCTGGACGGGTGCTCACTGCTGTGTCTCTCCATCACCCTGTGGCTCAAATGTCAAAGACACTAAGGCCCACCCAGGGACGGCGGCGAGGCGATAGGAAGCGCTTCAGGGTTTGTTTGTTTATACGAGCGACCATTTTGTCTTGTATAATGGTAAATAAATTTCCATGATACATAAAGAAGAGACAATTTAAATTCAGTCACACACAGAAAAGGAATGTGAAGTGACGAAGACTGAATTTGGGTCCGATTTTTTAATTTCTAATGGTATCTTATAGGAAAAGAACTACAAAAATAACAATAGTCAAAAGTAAGTATGATTTATGTCAAAATGTGGAATGTTTTGACTTACTATCTCATAAAGACTATATTTTGACATCTTATACTTTTGACTTGGTTTGTAACAGTTTTGACTTCAAAACTTCCAAAATTTTTGACTTATCTTAGTTGTTACTATCTCATGTTTTCTTTATCATAATTTTGACTAAAAAGACTATTGACTTTATTATCTCATATTTCACTTAGTATCTCATAATTATAACTTGTTTCATAATTTTGACTTATATAGTCAACATTTTGACTTGTCTCTTGTAAGATAGATACTTATCTATAGACTTAGTTAACATAATCTTAACTTTGAGTTAGTATCTTATATCTTTGGTCTCTTAATTTAGATGAACTGACCCTTAAAAAGCAACCGCATCCATTTTAAAGACACAACAGTAAATGTGCCATGAATCCTCACACAGGTAGGCGCTTCTTTGGTTTTCCTGTCCAGAGGATAAATCCATACTGCAGCTGAGAGGTACATCCTGGGGTTAGTTACATATTAGCAGACTGCATGCCCCCACATCCCCTGGAGCTCAGGGGCTGTCTCACTGAATATTGATGAAGACATACACATATTTACTCAACACAGGTTCAACACGGGGTTGTTTCTGGATAATTTTGAGTGCTAATGGATCATTTTCCATTGATGAAAGGCCATTTAGACATAAATGATGCTTCAGCTGTGATGGACATAAACTACACTGGAGCTGAAATTGAGTGTGGTTGTGTTTTGACAGGCAGCACTCAGTCATAATGTGCACAGCTATGTGTGGGTTTTAATGACCTGTTTAAATCATTTCTCCCCCCGTACTCGCCGTTCCCCCCAACGTCATTATGTTTCCTGGAAGAAATCAATTTCTGAAAATACTCCTGCACTCCGGGTCTGAAAAGATCATCTGATCCAATCGACCTGCTGCCCTACATTTAACTGCAGAAGAGTGTGACGTGGTCAGGGAGCGGAGGTGTTCACCTGACCAATCCCCAACTCAACACTCTTGTCATGACCTTTTGACTCTTTCTGAGCGCTGCCCAATAAGCCATTGTTATGACTCTGTTTATGTCTGCTGAGGAGGAGATCCAGAGAGCAACAAGACCCCCCCGATATCTGGTCCTCCTCACACTGAGTGAGCCTCCCTGCCCCTCATGTAAACACATCATAGGAGGTCTGCTGCTCACCCATCTGAAGAATGCATCAGCAGGGCCAAAAACAACAACTGATGCAAACAAGGAAACTATAAATATAATGGTAAAGAGTAGAGTAGATGTAAATGTTTAGATTACATACAGCCATTATTGGAATGACTGTACACACTGAGTTTAGTCATTCAAATGCTGGTGAAACTGCGATGTGACGCCTGAAAAAAACCCCACATTTTGTTGATTTTGATCAAACGATCCCAACTCAAGGTCCAATTACTAGTTATTTTCTGGGCTTTCCACAAATATAAGAATATTTGTTTCTTGCGTGATGCTGGATACTTTTACATATTTATTACTATAAAAACTATTGAAAAAGAAATCTGAGAAGGGAATATCACTTCTTCGATGAGGGGTTGTGAGTAGGTATATAAGGGTCATAAGGTAATAAGGTTGAGAACCAGTAACATAGGAGACTGCTGATATGAGCTCCACATCACATCATGAATTCCTGTGTCCAGATATCAGGATGCTGTTGCTGTTCCAGTAGTAAACTATGCAAACTATGTAAACAAACAGCTTCCGTTGAAAGTGGATCTGTCTTATACAATGCCTGATACTGAACAGGGGTTCCAGTTGTTTATTCTGCAAACGGTACCTCACAAGTTAGGGATTTATTGCAATAACTAAAGAAGAAAAACAGTTTCTTTCCTAGGTTTCTTAACCATATACATGTCTGTTCTCATCCAGTGTGGAAGGACTGTCTACACATTTTATGCAAATGCTAACAATGCAAATTCAACCAATCCCTGTGAATTCTGTGCAACCTTGTAATTTTGTCCAATCATGGCAACATTTCTGCAAATTAGACCAACCATTGAAGTTTCCTGCAGTTTCGGTGATGCTCTGACCCAGTCCTCCAGCCATCACAATTTGGTCCTTGTCAAAGTCGCTCAAATCCACACATCAACATCAACTTTGAGGACAAAATGTTCACTTGCTGCCTGATATATCCCGCCCACTGACAGGAGCCATGATAACCAGATCATCAGTGTTATTGTTAGTAGTCTTCCACCGTGTTGAACCCCCATGTTTCTACGATTAACTGTATGTAAATGGACTGAGTCTGCGTGACATCACACGCAGGTTTCTGAAGAGCAGTTGTGTTGAGCAGTTCTCAAAGTGCTCTGGCCGCCACCATCTTGGAAGTCCTGACCCCACCGGCTCCAAGCTAATCCACAGGATTTGTGTAGGGGTGGGCTGAATGAAGCTTGAGTACCAAAAACAGCCCCCTGTCACTCTAAGCGGCCATGTTCTTAATTTAAAGTAACAATTTCATTGCAAAAAAATAAAAAAAATCCCTAGAAACACTGCAACATGTGTTGCAATTTTAAGGAAAGCTACTGTGAAATCAGTCATTTTAGGCAGCAACAATCACCCCCCTGCCCCCCAGAGGGACTGATTAGAGATGTCGAAAGTAAAAGGGGGGACAGAGGGGAACACATGAGCAGACAGACTAAATTACTCCCCATGCCTGAAATCTAGGTCAGGGAAAAGTGCCTGCATTTCTTTGCCTAAGCCAACAACTTTCCCTGTGTTCCTCTCATGCTTTATTCATTGTGGCACCATGGGGCCCGATGTAATGTAGCGTCTCCAAGACACTATTTTGGACGTACAGAAGTCTTGCTCAGCAAAGCGAGCCGTGTAGGACCTCAACGCTGACAGCTGTCACTGCAATGAAAGCTTTTGTTTGACTGTTGCTGCCTTAGAAAATCTTTTTTCTTCTCAGTTTTATTTTATTTGTGAGTTTTCTGGAGAGAGGGGTTTTTTCAGCACGTTATTTTGTTTATGCACGAATCTACGGAACTGCAAGATTAGGATTTATTGTTAATAATTCATTTGTTCCCTCAATTGACAGTTCACCAAGCCTGTTGTCAAGATTTTAACATTAACGTCATGGGTTGGCTGCTGTGGTGCTGCTTACATTTGCTCTGCTCATTTCTCTAAAAACTTAAGATCCAGATGTCCGATAACTAAAATTCTTTATCCGGTTAAAATATATCCCAAGATCTGAAGAGTGCATTGTAGTAGTGTTGCTTAAAACTGGATAGAAAGTCAGTTTATGACAGATCACATGCAACACAAAGGGGATACATATTATATCTGTGAAGGGTTGATTGGTTACACTAAATTATGAAAAACTTATTTTCTATAATTATTTTACTGTTTTCATAGGGAATATTTCTTCCAGTGAAAAGCAATGGACTTTTTTGTGAACACCACAAAAGAAACAGAAATGTCCATTGTATTGTCGTGCAGGCAGAAATCTCAGAGGTATTTCAAAATGTGAAAAATAAAACCAAAACTATCTGCCTGACTGGATACTACTACTACTGAATTAAAGCAGTATTGATAATCTGTGTCCAACACAAATGATCACCTTATAAAGACGTATGGTGAACTCCCCCAACAAAATAATCATAACTGCTTTAAAATCAATAGCTAAAATGTGGCTCTGAAAAATATATCCACTGTCAAAATTCAACATATGGAAATAACTGTTGTTTGTATGAAAAGAATGGATAAAATGGTCAAAAATATAAAGTTAAATCAATGTGTAATGGTGAACTATGTCCTACTTCTGTATATGTATTTATTCTCCTTTACATTATTTCCTTTTATCCGATGGAGCTGCACATTGGGTGGAGCACCTGTCGCTTAAAATATTCTGTAATTGCTTTTGGCTTGACGCTAATAAAGAGTATATCAAAAATGCTTAAAATAACCGATCTGAAAACACTCATATGAACTAACTTTGTTCTTCAACTCACTTGAAGAGAAGAGCTCCGGAGAGGATTTTCCAAGCACAGAAAATCCACTCCCGCTTGAGGTTTGATGAGTTGAGGATGATGATATTCTCAGCCAGGCACTAGATCAATATCTCGAAGCTGACAGGCGGATGGTCACAGCAGATAACAGACTTTATCTTTTTTTTTTGGTGTCCTTACTACTCCCAGAGTGTCATACTGTACCTGCAGGAGACCCCTTTTCACCCACTTCACCTCCCCCCCATCCAACACCCACTGTCTCGACCTTCATCATCACCTTGCTCAGGCTTGGGTGACACTCAGAGATAAAGGGTGTAAGGCTCTCCAGCTGTCAGAGAGAGGAAGAGTGAAATAGAGGGGGGTTGTGGGTTGGGGGGATTATTTGGAAATGTTTCCATTTGACATTTCACCATTCAGCACATACTCCGTT